CATTAAAGTAGATTCTTCTTTCTTTTATACTTGAGAGTGACTCAAGAGACAGGTGAGCAAACACCTGATAGCCGGACAGAGCATGAAAAAATCGTACCTCACCAGCATAGTGTTGGGTAGCCTGCTCTCGGCACTTCCTCAGATATTTGTGTTCCATGATCTCACGCTTTTTCTCTTGCAAGCAAGTGGCGAAACCGTCAGCGATAGTTGTAGAAGAAATTACATGCTACAAAATAAGATGACAGACTAGTTGAAGATGCCACAGGTATTTGGAGTTTGACAACGCTTTAACCAGTAACACCTTTTACTGTGAATCGTACTCACCAAGTGAAATCAAAAGACAGAAGTGAAGAGGTTCGAAGATATATTTGATAGGTTATCAATATGTCGAGGATCATCTAATCTAGTCCGGCTAGTGATTGCAGGGCTTGTTGAGCACGGTGTCCCCACTTGTAATCTGATGCGGATGCATGACGCATGGCGCGTGCATGCGCCTTCAGCTAGGTGAATCCATTAAAAGTGATGTGGTCAGCATCCAATGTCGAAGACTTATAAAGCTATTGATTCTGAGTTATTTACTGCTACATAGTAAATGAAGAGACATCTGTGGACTATCGTCAATTGCTGACGGAGTTAGTCGTCATTGATTGGAAGTCAAACAGTCAGCGAGTTGGCGAATCTCACTTGAGTTGTGGAAACAGAACCAAAGTGTTTTTGATAGATAGGTTAATCGAACCGACGTTCCTATGGAAATCGATTCTAGGGAGAAGCTAATGTAACAGTTTAGGTTGATTGGTTAAGAGTTGACCTCAAACAACTAAGTATATGTCAAAACAGTGGAGTCCAAGTATTCATTCAACACCTTATTTTGTATAGGCATTCTATTTCCTATTATCTTATAAAGAATGTTGAGAGGCTTTGTTTGTCTGAACAAATAATCCCACGCTTGAATGTGACTGCGCGAAGATCTAAATAAAGACCTACCTATAGCTCGAGGGTTACCTACAGGCGCGAAAGGAGCACAGAACATATATTTTCTCATCAAATTCCCTCAGACCTTACATTGTGATTCATTTAATATTGCTTCGGCTGAGTTAACCACAACTTATAGTCACTGTGATCAATTTCTAAAAGTTGGGATTACTTAGTCACAACATTGTCTATCTCTATAAGTAACAGTTTATGCTTATCTTCCTGGTTGTCATCACTCATTCAGTCTAACCCTTTATGGTATGCAATAAATATCTTGACAAAATATATACGGGAGAAAAATCCAGTATCAAAAAGAAGGGAAAAATATATATAGATATTTTGTACTTATTTCGGAGAAAAAATATACCAGCCTAAGTTATCTGTACAAGAGAATGTTAGTGTGCACATAAAACAGAACTTTTGTGTTCGAAGAACAAGCTCACTAGTTGTTCTACCCCCTTTTGAGTAGATATATAGAGGAGTTTGAGATGGCCGTGGTAGGTTTGTTACATAATGTGTGGGACATGTAGAACGCGACACCTTAATCTGAACGAGCAAACCTCTCATCATCCTATTTCCAAAGAAGAAAAGTAGTGCCAACATACAATAATCAATTAAATAACTGGTTTGCCAATAATGACTCTATCTTTATAGGACTTTATCGAAAAACTCTTAACCACCTAACTTGGGTAGCTAAATTTTTTCATCAGTCAAGAGAATCGTTTTTACTATCGGGCTCACGGGTAAGATAAGCCGCCAATATATAGAGTAGGGAGATTATGTATAGAACACCCCAGCGTTATGCTACGACCTGGGTAAATGGTAATGACATTCATTCCAACAGCAAAAACAACCGTCGACAACAATTAATTGCCAAATCATGTTACACGACTCTCATCAAAAACGGTCACACAGTGTCCGAGTAATGAGAAGGTAATCAATGGAAAATTCACTCTGACTAGTATAAATCCCACACTTCTCTCCTAGTATGCCACAGCCAATGTACGAGCGCCAATAAAGAACAAGTGTTCAAGTCTCAACAAAAGCCAACGTATCAACGCCCATAGAAGGTAACTCGAAACAAATGAATAAGGACCAATTGTTTCGGTACGTTATGTCCTTTGGCAGATTTAGTTATCTAACCGCAACCTTTATAACGCAACGTGGAGAGGAAGTGAAGTTAGTTGACCCTAGTCAAACAAACATAGGAAAATCACCATCCAAAGAGTACAATGAAGAACATGTTGTAGTGAAGGAGAACACAGGTGAGGACAACCGAATCATATTTAGCACAACATTACAGAGTTAGTTGGTAAAATAGAAAAACCATACTATAAAACTTAATTCGCAAAATGTTCGATAGTTGTTCCGAGCTTCATTGTTATTGCATTTACATACTAACTGCTTTCTATTCCCGCTCTTCCTTTCTTGATCTTCCCCATTTTCTGCTGCCAAACATTACATTCTTGACTCGCATTATGTACTACTTATATCAATATAAGTAGCACGCACCACAATGTTACTCTCGTAAAATAAGATAGTAACCGATTTTGAATACGTTTACCAATACTTTTATCCTAGCATCAGGCACGGTTGGTACTTAGCTCCCTACCCTTTGCAGCCAAAATGGTTCTTAATAAATAATGCAAAACCTGTTAGCTATATGGATAAATGTTAAATTCGTAAGTGCGTATAATATGTAAGACTTGTCAGTTAAATCCTAATTTATTTCTCCCCATTGGATTCACACAACACACTGCATAATAGACGACTACACCCAAAACAATACTTACTATTTATCCAAGTTGTAGTGAACAAGAACACGGGTGGGGACAATCGATTGTATTTAGCACAAAGATTACAGACTATCTCAATAAAATGTGAATACCATAAAGTCAATCGTCAATTTGCAAAATATCATTCAATCATATCAAACTGTACTGTTCCCGTTGCAAACACTAATCCATTGTCGCCCATTCCATTGTACATGCGTTTTCTTACAATTCCATTGTGCTCTTGCTCTTCCTTTCTTGATCTTCGCCATCTTCTGCTGCCGGACATTACGTTCTTTTAACGCACGTTATATACTACTTATATCAATATAAGTAGCTCACACCACAAAGTAGGTCGATTACAAGCATGACCAGATTGCTTCTCACAGGGTTCCTATGTATAGTTGGTTTATGAATATTTTTTCTTCTACATGTTAGCCAAACTGAATAGTGAAAATCACTTACAAATAAATATAAGTTGAGTAACCCATTTTATTTCACTCACATTTTCATGCTCCTTTAACAGTGAAATCTTATTTGTTGAAGCAATCTCATAGAAAATCTCATGCAAAATGATTTTTAAGTGCTTCTTTTACCCACCAAACGAACGGGATTATACATTATATGACACCGTTTGCATGGCAACATGATTATTAAGCATAAAATGACCCCAGCCCACAAATTTTTAACGACTAACGTGATGTTAAGTCCTTAGCGGGTTGATTTTAGCTTGAATTTAGGTTGCGTCATGAGGCACTGTGAAGAGTAGTGGTTGTGAGAAAATGTGAACGACAAAATAGTGAGAGAAAAAGTAGTACGACGACTGAGTAAGCACAAAAATCCGCTTAACTTCTATGATGGTTCAAGTGGTTCAAATGATTGTGGACGGAATTGAAGAACCTTTCGCTTAATAGGCTTCCGTGTCTAGTAACAGGGGATCACCAAAACCTCCAGTCAGGAACCTAGGTATATTAACAATAAAAGAGGAAAAAGATATTGGTAAATCATAGTGTGACACGATCCTTAATCCTTAAGAATAGATTAAGTTGCCTCTTAAAGGACTCCTGGGAAGTCGCTTGGACTAGCTTGACCGGCGGCGAATTCCAGCATTTGATAACTCTTAAGGAGTAGAAGTTGTGTCTACATTCCGTTCTGCTATGTTGTGTCTCCAGTTTTTGGGTGTTACCCCTTAGGTTAGTGTTGGAACTAAGCTTAAGTAGGTGTTTGAGAGGATGTCCAGAAGTGCTAAGAATACTGTAAGCCATTAATAAATCACCTCTAAGACGCCTATATTCTAATGGGTAAAGGTCTAGTGAACGGAGGCGTTCTTCGTAAGGCTTAGATTTGAGTCCTCGAACTGATTTCGTGGCTCGCCGTTGGATACGCTCCAGGGTGTCCTTATCCTTTTGGAGTGAGGGGGGAAGTACTATGTTTCCGCGCTCTAAATGGGGACGGATAAAACTATTGAAGATTACATGGAAAGTTCTTCCGTCAAACTGGCCAAAAATGCGCTTCAATGTTACCAGTGTAAGGTTTGCTCGGAAGGCATTATTGTCACAGTTAGCGTAAGACTTTAAATCGTAGGGCACCAGGACTCCTAAATCTTTTTCGGCTTGGGATACTACTAGAGAGGGGTTTCCCAAGTTATAACTGCAGTCTTCGACATATCGCAGATGGACTACTTTACACTTTGAAGTGTTAAAGGTAAGTCCGTTATCGTCTGCCTAACTTTGAAGTCGAGTCAGATCCTCCTGAAGTGCCTGTGTATCGTCTTGGTTGCGTATCTCTCTCCAAAGTTTCACGTCATCCGCAAGAAGTAATAGGTCTGATGTTACCTGTTGAGGAAGATCACTTATGTAGATCAAGAAGAGAAGAGGTTCTAGTACTGAGCCCTGGGGGACCCCACTAGGACATTCCATAGCCTGAGATAAAGTGAAATTAACCCTGACCCTAAAATGTCGATTTTTAAAGTATGAAGCTAGCCAATTGATTAGAGCAATCGACGAAAATCAGCATTAACATCGGTATCAGATTCGGACGATCTGATTACCAAGACTAGGTAGCGTTCAGTCTTTTTGCGCTACAGTTGAAGGTCGCTCAAAAGACTACCTACTATCTAATGGGCCAATCAGACTACCGGCCGTTATAGTTTAGACGCGCTACCTATAAGTGGTCGGAAACAAGAGGTTTGTGTGGATAAACACTGCAGGATCAAACTACATCTAAAGTTCCGAGAAAAATTCTTCAAAAATAATCATGAGGTTTGACAAACTTTTTTCATAGTTTCTGTTCAACACTAAATACAACTCTTTACAGATGGAAAGCTATGCTGCAAAACAATCTTATCCTTCTGTCCACTTTCATAGGAATTGCAGTAGGGATCATTCTGGGTGTTATGCTAAATTTCTTTACTGTCCCAGAACATGTTTTATTGTGGATAGGTAGTTATATGTAAACTGTTAATAAATAATAGGTCTACCTGGGGAACTTTTTATCAGATCATTAAATTTTGCTGTTATCCCTCTGATAACCACGAATATAATGTCAAGTAATCTCCGTGTTCTGTAGAATTCCCGAACATCTAATATGTGTAGTGTCGTCCAAGCTGAAGCCTTCAGTGCAAGGGAAAATGGCGTTACTTGCTCTAGGATATTGTGTTTCGATGAATATTTGTGGGGCTTTTCTTGGTCTCGGTATTACCGCACTTATCGACCCAGGTCCATGAAATTTTTTCCCAAATCGTTTATTTTAGGTGGTAGATTCACTACAAGTGTTGAAAAGTCGAGTGGATTGTCAAAAGTCTCCAGGAAAGTCGAAATCTCGGACGTATTTCTAGACTTCTTCAGGTCAGTTTAAGCATTGCATTTAAACTCCATGTAATTGGTTTCGTGTGGGAAACCCCTTAAATCCACGGTACTAAGCTATCTGTAGACGCACATGCCTTGTGGGCAAACACTGACAGCTTATTTCATTGGTAACTGTATAATTCTGGGAAACTTACTACTGTACATTGACTTCTTATCAACCACTCTACTCATGAGCTAGAAGTGATCTTTAAAAAAGCTACTTCATAGTTTCTGAATGAATTTTTAACCTCCTGCGTTTATTCATTCAATATACATTGTAACTCTCTTCCCTTGTAAGGATTTTTCAAATATCCTTGTCGTTATAACGTTCCAAACTTTATTATGTGGTTTTCTTAACATATCACCTATTATTTCTTCAATTAATATTGTTTGAATGTAATGTAATATACACCATGTCATCATTTCAAGTGTACTTGACTTGGTGACTGCAACCCCGAATTCTCATGTGAAAAGCACAATTTCTTTACTCTTAATGATTTCAGTTTCTCGAAGTGTTTTGAAATTGTTCAGGCCCGTGACTGTGATGTCACCAGTTTCTCTCCCCCTCTCTGGCTATCTTACTACTTACATTCAATACATTTTATATCGAATAAGACATGTATTTACTGTTTTTTTTGTACAACTTATAGTGATGACTTTCTGTATTAATAAATAATAGGATTATGGCTATTTTATTCCAAAGTTACCTGTCATTTTAGTGTTTTTTTACTTCGGCTATTTAACTTAGCCTTATACCCATAATATCAGAGAGTCCTCATACTGCTTAACCTATTTAGCTATGTTCCAAGTCTGAATATTTTATAACAAACAACCCGTCAGATTTCATCTACTACAGACATCATTTTGCGTTTTGTATTTTCATTTATAATCTTTATGAAATCAGTTATAATAGCTGTTGATTGTCTTATTTTTTGTGTCAACGTATCTATAAATCCACGGAGTAGAGTATGTAATGTCAACTGGTATTTCTTTTTAGGTACGGAAATAAATTTGTTTCAATCTATGCTTCGCCCCATCAGAATGTAAAATAACTTGTAAAGATTAATTTACAACGACATTTCGTTTCATCTTGTATAATAGGGACTGTGTGAATGACACGTATTTCGTGAATAGCTTCAGTTCATGTGTACTGATGGGGTACAAAACGTGTAGGTACAGAAAATTTAACAGCTTGCTCAAAATATGAAGTTGATAATGTATATGTAGGTCCATTAATGAACAGGAAGATATGCAACTGTACCTAAAAATTGACGAAGTACTAACCCGAATCTTATGTTTAGAGGAGTGACTTTATCAAGGTTTGAGATACTACTAATCAGCGATTTACAGAAACAGTCAAGCTCCTCTAAACCGTTTGTTTACTGAAATGATGATGAAAACATTAAAGAGATCATTTTTACTTATTCGGAATAGGTTCGTAATGGTTACATAGAAGTTAGAATTGGTTGGAGTTTTGTAAGTTATCATATAACTTTCCTTCTTTCACAGGAACATTTATATGCATTTTCATGGTTGTTTCATGAATTATGGTTTGCATACGCACAAATTATAGTTTTAATTATCAGTGAACATTTATTACAACCTATGGATTCGAACAATTCTTAAAAATAAATTCATTTTTATTCTGATTGCATTTTCAGTGTAAACTATATGATCTACACTTAAATAAAAACAAATTTTTTCACTTAAATGTTTTTAGAAATATGATTCCTGATAACATTGTTAGGATGTTTTTGTTTTCGGTAAGTTTTCAGTAGGCAATTACTAATGATAATGTCATTATTTAAATATTTGTAAACGGAATTGTGCGATATTTTCCTTTCAAAGTCTTTCAAAGTCCATGTAACTCCTTTGTAGCTTATGTGTATAATTTAAGGGTTATTTATCCCATTCGAATGAATAATAAAATTAAAATTCTAATGCTCAATTAAAAGAGTTTTCATGATTAGTAAAGTAATATTTAGACGATAATTTCACCATATATTTGCGCGGACGACTACCGTAGTTAAAATCGTAAGATAATGGTAGTATTATAACCAACAGTTTCTATTTTACCTCCATAGTACTCATTTAACTCATGGTAGCATTTTATTTTCATTTCTATTATCGAATGTTACAAACGTACGTACGGCAATTTTAGGCGTTGCAATTTGATTAGCATTAACTTACAACTACTGTGAACATTTTATAATTAGCTGTCACATTGGTGACCATCATGAATCAGCAGCTTAATGGACCACATGCGTTATGAGTTCAACTTCCACCCACCATTCGAAGTATATTTAATTTGGAAAATTCAGGTATTGTCGAGATATTAGTTCAGTCAACCCACATGATAGTATAAAAAGTGAGAATTAAAAATCCCTACAAATAATCAACTTGAATTTATTGTGTATAAGATATCTACCCGTTCAAAACGTATTCTACGTTGTGTTTAAGTAGTCAGTCTACACAAAACTGAGAAGTTATTATAATTTAATAAGCCTCATTGTAAAGATTTTCGTTATCATCAACAATGCAGACAATTATTTTCCATATTCTTTTGTAATTAACTACTGTGATGTGTATTATTGCTATTCAAAATATGATACTACTTGAATATTTGCCTCATCATGTATACGGTGTCTAGTCTAAGTATTTAAAATAATACTTGATACCAGATATTAATGAATATATATATGTATATATATATATATATATATATATATATATATATATATACCAGTCGAGTTTCACATTGAGTAGTGAAGGCGAAATTAAAATACTAGTATATGTACGAAGAATATTCTTTACAATAAATTCTATTCATGTTCCACAATTTAAATTAAAATCTCGTTCATATTTTGGTCTGGTTTCTCAATTTTCCCTTTATCTGTGGATCCGTTCGGATTCTCGATTGACTAGTTCAGAAAGACATAATTACAGTAAAGGTCCTTCTACAAACCTTTGTTTATAATTTTTGTCGATTAGATAAATTTACTTTGAGAAGTTGTAACTGTTATGTTTACAATATTTTGGTTGTGATTCAAGCAGTTAGGCATTAGAATTTCAACCACTAGATTATAGATTCAAATCTATATCCACGTTCTTTTATTGTCATGCAAGTAATATCCTCACCACTAACATAACATGTGTTACTTAAAATCTGCTGTATTATATTATTTGGATACTAAATAAATTGTTTTTAAAATCTACCTTTTATCATTCGGTCAGTTTTATTTGACTGTTATTATCATTCTTTGCTTTCATTTATGCTAAAGATAGTTACAACATACGAGCCAGTTGAGTCTCTTCCTAACTCAAATGGTAATTCATCTTCAACTATAACATACAAACGGGTAATTGAGCATGCGGCACAAACAAATATCCTAGGTGAGATATATTTTCTCTGTTTGTCTTTAGTAAGATGCTAGTATTTTGTCGATCTTTCACTACTTGGATGAACAACGTCTAAAAAAGTACTTAACACCGGTTATTATTTCTGATTTAGTTTTTTAGTAAATTTCTTTAACGTGTTTTTAATTGAAGGTGTTTATATACGAACGATCTTGTTTTGGTGAACGAATTATACCAATTATGAAACTTCGTTTTTGTTCTATATTTAAAATTTCCCTGAACCTTTTAATGAATTTATAGTTGTAAACTCATCTTATTCGTATATATCCCACATCATCTTTGTTTTTTATTCATTTTGTATTGGTTGTTGGTATATCCATCAGGCGAGTACCAAGTGGAACAAAAGGTGCGTCCTAGATTCTACTGCTGGCTTCAAACTTGGTCGTGGCTGTATCGACTACATATTCACCATTCGTTAGATCTTAGAACGCGGGCATGCTTATCGGCACTTGACAATGACAGTTTTTCTTGACTTAAAAGCAGCATTTGACTCCGTAGACCGCGAGATTCTGTGGCAGTGTCTGTCATTGTAAATCTTGTAAAGGCATTTTACTCAAACACTACTAGTTGAGTCAGAGCTTATGACGAACTGTCATCTGATTTTGCAACCTCAAGCGGTGTTTGTCAAGGCTGTCCGCTTTCTCCATTTTTGTTTAACTTCATCATAGACCTACTGATGGAAATAACATTCTCGTCTACTGAATTCTCGGGTATTGATCTTCTTCCAGGAGGTTCACTTACCGACTTAGAATACGCAGATGACAGTCCTGTTTGGTGAAGACGCTGATAGAATGCAGAGTCTTTTGGTAGCACTAAGCAACAAAGCCAGAATGTTTGGAATGCGCTTCTCTCCCTATAAATGCTAGTTGTTGCTTCAAGACTGGTCTGCGTCAACACCTGAACTAAGGATAGGGAGTGAAGTAGTCGAACGCGTCGACAACTTCACTTATCTTGGAAGACTGATCAACTCTAGTGGGTTGGTGTTTGACAAAATTTCAACACGGCTTCGAAAAGCTCGTTTGGCTTTTACCAACTTACGTCACCTATGGGGAAGGCGAGATATCCGTTTATCAATTGAGGGACGAATATACTGCGCAGCAGTTCGTTCTGTTTTAATTTACGGCTGAGAAAACGTGGCCATTAGTTGTAAAAGATACTCGTAAGCTACTAGTATTTGACCACAGATGCCTTAGAAATATTGCTCACATCTGCTGGGATCACCGGGTAAGTAATAGTGAGGTTAGACGCAGTGTATTAGGGAATGACGGTAAATCAGTTTATGAGGTTGTGAATCTTCGTCGACTGAGATGGTTAGGACACGTGTTACATATGCCTGAACACCGATTAACACGACGCGCAATGCTGATTAGTGTTGGGGATGGCACCAGTCCTTGAAGTCACTAACTTCTGGTCTGATCCATATCGGTAGATGTAGACTACTTGGTTGGGGTCCGCACGACTGTCGTAACGAGTGGTTGGAGACTCTTGGTGACATAGTTCATAATCAACCACAATGGCATAGGTGTATACACTCTTTGTCTTTCCTTAAACAGTAAGATTAGAACTACTTTATACTTTTATTTCTACGAACCAATTCTTTCTTCCTGTATCATATGCAATTTTTCTTATATATGTTACTACAATTCGAATAAGTACTTCTATAAATTTGGTGTTCACCTTGTTGTGCTAATGAGTTGTGGCAACTTGAACCAATGCATATATATACCTGGTCCTACGTTGTAGCTGACTAACTGACTGGAATGCGACCAAAGAAGAGCCACTCATGAATTACGCATACCATTTAAGTACTAGTGTGGTGTATGCTACTTATGTCTGTCGACGTTAGTAGTATGTTACACGAGTCGGAAGTGGGAAACCTGGCATCAGAAGTCTAAGAAGATCGAGCTAAAGATAATAAAAATAGAAACAGAAAGGAATTGTGAACTGGAAGAAGTATACAGAATGTGAAGGACAAATGACGGAAATCTCCAATAAAATATTCAGTGTATGATTCTCATATTTTAATAAGATATTCTGTAATTTTGTATTAATTAAAACTTGGTTGTCCTCACGTGAGTGTCCGCCCACAACACTCGAAGCAAATTCAATAAAACGTTATAGAAACGTAGTAAAACAGAAAATCCCTTACTCATTAAGGCATTGTTTCAAGTGAATAACAATGTTGAACAACCTCACATAATTCATGCATTTACAATACATTGGTTACTTGACTGTATCTACTCTTTTATTTTTTTCTTGTTGTTATTAGTAATGCTATGAAGTTTTTCTGTTTTTATTCAATTTTTTCCTTATAGGATTGTTTACTACTAGCCTTGTTATTGGTTTAGTTGCTGGGTCTCGAAGAGAAAAACTGCGTCCACTAATTGCATTATTTGAGTGCATTTCCGAAGTAATGACTATTATTATTGAGTTTATTATCAAGTGAGAATTTTACTCCTGATCCCATATATTTGACTTTTTAACAAAACATTTTTCAGTTTTTACTGAAGAAATTCATAGTTTTAGTCGAAATTGAAATCATTTGTAAAATGATTCGCAAACAGAATACTGGATTTACTGTCGTCAATTTTTTTCCAAATCTCATGAAACTGCCCATATATAACCTGTCCGTAAACTATCCATGTAGTTTTTTATATTAGCAACAATATGTAATTATCCATTGTTAAGTTGTCAGCTAATTCATGTTTTCCTCTCAGGATTCAGGCTAGATAGCTCTCGAAAATCGATTTGAAAAAATGTATTCTGCATGTCATGGTAACAATTCCCATTAGCGTGAATTAGCTTGTTGATATAGATTGATCTTACATACAACAATAGCTTATCTTTAACACATCTTCAATTTAAATGTCAGTTAGTGAAAATAATGCTAAATGTGGTACAAAAAAATCTAAATATGTACACGGTCAATTGGTCAAAGCTCCACTGGAATATAATGTTTGGAATTAGTATTATTCTACTTAGTTAACAAAAGTACATTGCCAATCACTTGATGGAGCAATGACTAAACATTTGAAACACTATTTGTAACCACTGAATTGTATAGTTGCAAGCCAGTCCTGCTGTTCAAGGAGTCAAGTAGTACCGCTAGATGCTTCACAAAATCTATTTAAATCCGAAATCGAGTGCAAGAAATTCGACTGAATCCCAATCGATGTATTCAATTGTTAACTAAGATTTGTTTTCTTTAAGAATTTTTAATATCTTTTTGAAGTTAAAACTGTTACTTAACACTTTATTTAGATTGCTCCCAATCGCCATGATTAGTTTAATCGCATATGCAATTGCACGAATGGAAAGAATTGGAGATAATTTTATCGCTTTAATTCTGTTTGTTGCATCGTCAATTACATTTCTTTCAATCATTGTACTTGTGATCATGCCAGTATTTTTCTTCATAGCAGTAAGACGAAATTTATTTCGCTTCTATTACTATTTATCTGAGCCTATATTGACTGCTTTCAGTTCGACCAGTTCGTAAGTTTGTTGTTTGACTTTTTATTCTGATTAGTTATTTTCTTTAGATCTATTGGGATTTATTATATTTTTATAGAACAAAGGAGTTAAAGTTACAAGCAGTCTCTTCAGATTCTCGACTAGTTACTCTATGAAACTCAACTATTTACTAGGTATTAACTTCACATCTTATTGATTCGTCTGGTGGAATATCTTGTATAGTTGCATAGAAGCTTGTATATAAACTTAACATGTGTAATTTTCAATCATTAACATGTAACTTTCATTATAAGACTAGTTTATGGTATATTCTTAAGATTTCACCTGAAAAGCTAAACATTAAGAATGTTTTAAGTCACGTCATACATGAGACGGATTCCTATAATACCAGGTAATCAACATGGATTTATACTCGACCTGTCCGTTTATAATCCTCCGGAGTGATCTTAACGTTTTCTACCTCTCCTAGACAGGATGTGTGCATACACACCAACCTAGTTAAATTCTTGGAATTCCAATTTCGCTCTCTCACTTTTGTTAAATCATCCCAGCTACAGAAATTAAGCGAAGAAGACCTCTAAAACTAGCTATAAATACATATTCAACTGAATAACTACAAATTTTTGAAATATTTGTTGCTTACAAGATTAAGGGAGTTATACAATAATCCCACTGTGATTGATTTTAAAACATATCACTCACTTTGCAACCATGAATTTTATTTGTTTCTTGGAAATTGATTTGATATCTGACAATTATACTCGATAAATCAGCTGCTAAACCTTTAAGTTAGTACAATAGTTAGATAAAAATACACTAAATCTCTCATCCAACTCAACCCTAGCTGTTTCAGCGCTTTTGAAAGTAAAGTATGTCTCATTTGCCGAAGTCGATAAAAATACACAAACTTTGTCTTTCATTATCCAACTCCATAAGTTCCATTTCCCGTCTTTTCCTTTACTTTCTCACTACTGTTAGTATCTTTTTTTCAGTCCTTTGATTTCTTTTTTATCGATTAACTCTTACTTCATTTATGGAAATCGTGACTACTAGCCCTTAAACACTCATACTATATACTATACTTTTTATTTACCTATCCTATCATTCCAGGCTTAACTATATCGTTCATTCACTGGTTTTTTCATATGGCTGATTTTTATCTGTGTTTAAAATCCCAAACCACATTGTCTTTTAATTGCATACTAAAGCGGAACATATTGTTATTCAAGTGCCTGATGTATTCGACTAGGAGTATAAGTAACGAACTGTGGCGAATGTAGAATGAGTATTTTTTACTTGTATTTCATCAGTTACTAATCTATCATACTGTTGTTATTCCTCAGTAAAGTGAATGGACAGGTTCACTCAGACACCTTGCTTCTGGTCATTAGAATAGACATTAATGCACAACGTCATAAAATGGCATACATGAAGTATTTTTGTCTTCATTTGCCAAATAATAGTCTCCCAGTATATTTAAGCGACAAAAGTACCGTGTTACGAAACGTCGTCATAATGATAAATAGACAGGTATGAATGAGTACGGACATCTTAAATAGTTTCTACCTAAGTCTACTTAAACATTCATTTAAATGACATGATTAAATTTCCAGTATAGGGGTTTTGGAGATTATTAAGTTTTTGATTGAGATCATGAACAGATTGGTGTTAGACCAACGTGGGAAACCTGGAAGCACTGGACGGCCGGCTTAGTGGTCCAGTAGGTTAAGTGTTCGCGCGCGAGACTGGAGGCCCTGAGTTCGAATCCCGCTGGCGGGATCGTGGGTGTGCACTGCTGAGGAGTCCCAAAATAGAACGAAACGGCCGTCTAGTGCTTCCAAGTTTCCAACTGTGGTCTAACACCAATTAGTTCATGATCTCGATCAAAAACTTAATAATTAAATTTATCAACATCTGAATATATCCTCTACACTCAACTTGCCAGATCGTGCTTTAGCGTTCGGTCTTTGTCAGGTTTGCATTTAGCCTGAAGGTACCTTTTGTGCTGGGGGATTGTGAGAAGCAGTATGTGATAGAACCTGTAAGAGAATAAAATAAATGAAAAAATGAGCCAACAATTCAGTGGGTTTATAGAATGCACTTAAATTTAATAATGAAATTGATCGATAATAATCAGAATTAACACAAATATGAAATTAAAACAATCTCATAATCAAACCTAGAAGTCGGTAGCCTACAGTTTCCAATGCATTACAGTACAACACATCAATGTAACCGCTTCTGATAAATTTAAATAATGCTTTTTTCCGTTAAAAAATATCTTCCAGTTTAATTGCTCTCCCACAACTTTTTCAAGTTTGTGATCTTTATGGAATTGAGTCAGATTTAGTACGAACTGTAGCACCATTTCTCACAAGCTTCAATGCAAATGGATCTGCTGCATTTATTGCATCTGCTGTTTGTTTTGTTGCCCAATTAACTAAACAACGTTTAAATGCTGGTCAGTTTATTGCAATTGGGTAAGTTTAAATATTTTCCTTTTATTGTTGTTAAAATTACTTTCATTATAAAAAACAAACGAACAAACACATACATAAATATGATAGCTGCACACAAACGGTCATCGTTAAAGTTACATTTTAATAAAACAATGATTTATTTCGTTTGTTGTATTTCCAAAATTCCTTGAATGTAACTTCAGTATAAAGATTGAGAAGCAGCTCTCGACTTTATGTCTCATGTTTCTTCGTTTTTTTTAGTCCAAGATTGCATACATAAAATATGTAGTAATAAATGTTTTGATTTTAAAATAATTATGGTCATTTCAAATCTCTACACTGTCAATTACGTTTCGGTAATATCAATGCACATCTATTATTAATTACCTACTAACTGAATGATTGAATCACTGTTAAATTACATGAAGTAACACATTCTTTCGATGTTACAACACAAAGAAAAGTACTAAATAAAGGATAAAAATTAGAAAAAATGTACATCAGGGAACAGTGGATGGATGAAAGAGGTTTCTATAATCCGTAAGCACAAGTTGTGAAACTTGTATTTGTATATTGTAGAATTAGTTTCATAGCTTAGCTGTATCGTGACTTCTTCCACTATCCCGCTCTCTCTCTCTCTGTGGGCAATATGGAAAGAGTCGAGATATATATCAACTCTATTGACTCAATACATGTTTCAGTTTTACCAGTTAATACACACCTACAACAAATTTAGTCTCCTTACTCAAACCCCATTTACTTACTGTGTATACTAACTGTCACACAAAAGTATTTGTAACCTTCCGATGGCACAAAACTCTAATAACCATCTTTCAAGGTTCACCACCATGTTTCATACTCGATCTTCATATCCAAATAAATATCTTGGAAATAACACAACTAATGTAAGTTATAAAGTGTCAATTGATATTTTACCATGATTACCGAGATTCACCTGATACTTAGCTCAACATAGCTCCATTACTATTTGATAAAGTCAAACACATCATCTTCCTAGTTTTTTCTAGATGTAGGTAGAAACCTGCTTTGCAGTATAATGAGTTATCTGATAGTGTGAAATTTATGTCAAATATCCTAAGTTTTTCATCTAAATTGTTCATCTACCTTCCAATTTTTCCACTTTATCTAGCAGGACGATGACGAATTTGTTTCTTTGAAAGAGTACTGAAACTCTAAACAAATTGTTGATTTTTTGAAATTTAGCAACTTTGCTAATTGTTATCATGACTTCCCTTTTTTCTCTTCTTACATGAACTGTCACAGCTCACTATTTCTGTTTATCTAATTCGATCATGCCTGGGTTTTAGAGTTGAAATTAAACAATTCAATATATGTAGCAGTGTGTAGATTCACCATACTACCAAACAACTAAGTTCATTCAACTAAAACTGGTTATTTTCTACCACTATATATTGAGCATAACTTTCTAAACGAAAAATTAAAAAGTCATCGCACAGCTAAATAATTTGTTTCTTAGGTCATTTATTTCTTCATTGTTTTGGAAAAGTACACCACTTCCCCGTGTTAACCAAGACTTCAGTATACTGTATTATTTCATATCTTGATAACATTCACTGGAATTTTTTCGATAACTTCAAACTCTATCGTATAAAAATGTGATGCAAGACATTAAGCTTTATCTCTCCTCAATTACTTTCACTAATATAATATAAAATATTTTCATAATAAATCAATTGCGTATGACAAATGGCATAAGTCTGATATTGAGGACGCAACTATTTATCCTTGAATCCCTTGTACTTAAATTATCGAAATACCTACTTTTGTATACGCAATTTCCTATCCAAGCGAAATAAAAAGGTTTTCTGACCATCTGTTCTGTTTTTTTGATATTCACTTATTGGGCTTGTACGCAATTATTAGTTGGTTACCATTATATTTGTCAGATGAGCTTTAATAATTTTATTCAGTATTTTCGCCATCACAATACAATTATTTACAACTGAGTGGTGCTTTTCTCGCCCTACTTAATTGTTGTCTTATTTACAAGATCCAATTTCTGTTATTCACTTCAACTCACCTAAGAATTTTAGCGAGTTTATGTCTCAACTTTCTAGTCACAACAAAGCAATCAGTCAGTTAGCCATAAACGATGAACGTACTATATGTATGCCCAGTTGGCATATCACATCAGCATAGCATAACAAAACCATCAAAACGTATTCCAAAACTGTAGAATTAGTAGTAATAGTAGCAGTAGCACCAGTGATGATAAAAAAAGACGTCATAGAGAAGAAAGAATGAGGTCAAGTAATAAAATGTATAAAACGATTTTGATCTAAGGGAAGTTAGTGAGTGAATGGATCTAAATTTTCGAGATTTCTTCGGACAATCAAACCACTAGGACTAGTAAAGCTTCCAAAATAAGTGAAGTGGTGGATGCGTTCAACAATTTTACTCGCAACCATTAGTTTAGGGGTTGACACTAACAAATTTTTTACAGTTATGAGAGAAACGCATAGTAAACACTCTTGGATTGTTGCTCAGTGCAATTAAAAGACAGAATTTGTCAGTTTTCAGTCAACTAAACTGTCATCTTTATCTTCTAAATCCATAAGTGAACTTCCTGGTAGACCACTCCCTAAAACTGTAAGAGAAAAAATCTTTGTCTGTGAAACTCTTCTTATGACAAAGTTGGGTAAAAATGTGAGAAACTATGATAAACACCACTTGAGATTGACAATTCCAATGACAATTTGACATAAGCTCTAACGTGACCAAATAGTGTTCGAGTAAAAATGAACCTTCACAAGATATATGTACTCCTTCAGTATATTATTTAATGACAAATAGTAAGAGGTCAGTATGTCTCAAACAAACAATGTCATATTTAATATATGATATTCATAATCATCTCTCTATTTTATTGAAATTTGTCTTGTCGTTCTGGTTTATATTTGTCATATTTAATTGTGTTTTGTTTCGCCTTCCTCTGAATCTAGATTTTTATCTGGTGTTAATGTGATGGCACTGCCTGCAATTCCAAGTGCAAGTATTATAACTGTTATTTTAATAACACGCGCATTTGACATTTCTGAATCTACCTCCGTATCATTACTTTTTGTTACTGAGTTTATTGTGTAAGTATTGGAATTCTGTGTGTTTATGTATTTGTGTTCAATTTCAGTTTTATTTTGCTACATACTACCACCGCTGCCTTCAATGTAGTGGTTAAGGTTCTCAATTTTATTAGTTATAACTCTTAGTTAATTGATGTTGTAGTGTTCCAGATATATATGACAAATGATCTATAAAGCATATCTTTATTTCAAATTAATGCGTAATAACCATTTCATATCAATCAGAACTATTAAAATCAACTTTTTGTAAACAAAAAACTAGACATAATCTCCATCAAAAATTGGGGAAAGAAACTTTACTTCGGGTATTGTTGTTATTCCTGAACATAGAAATGCTTATGAAAATACGTGGAGCTGTGGCTCAATGATCAAGGTGTTCGGAATTCAGTCAATAAGGTGCTTATTTAAACCCCACTTTACCAGCTTCGGTTTGATCAATCGGTCAATATCACCAGCACTCGTGCTTAAAGTGTGGCTTTGAAATTAAGTACACAAAGCAATGAGTATGTAGAAATATACCTCATCTTGAATAAAACTCTTAAATCAGTGTAAACGGTCAACTTATAATAATTTGTCCAATTCATTAAAAGTAAGTTTACTGGACAAAATCTAAGATATCTCTTTTTCACTTTTTAAATTCTATCACTATCTTATATTTCTGTTTGTCTTCATTGCTATAATTACATACACGTAAAAGGACTCGTGTATTTCTTCTTTTTTTGTAAGAAATATTATCGTCCACAAACTTTATATTGATTGTTTACAAAATAAAATCTAACAGTTAGACAAATAGAAATAAACGCTATGTATGTATGATTATACTCTCTGGTATTGTTACGATCAATATCCTTTTAGTAAGTGAATAAAGAATGTACGAGGATGCCAATGACTTTCGCATTCTATACAATGCGTTTTTTTTAAATAAAAATTTTACTCTTATTGACGACAGCTCCACCATCATAGCTTGTAATTATAAATAAAGTGTCAAGTGGTTTCTGTTACATAATGATTATAATTGCAATAATTTACTAATGTTATGATTGAAATATTCTTTTGAATGATCAAACACAGACAATATGATTAAAATTACTATATCATTAGTTTGCTTTGCTTCAACTCAATTTATAATCTGACACAAATTTATGGTGTGTTATTGTCTTTTACTATTACATTTCTAAGATCCTTTCCTACAGTAAAATTTTAGACTGATTACTACTCATCTACGAATCCTTACTAATTGATAGACTTCTATTATGACAACATAGGTAACTGATTGGGATTCTGGTATGAAATGGCCAAACTACAAATGCACTGACGGGATAAATTTTTTAAATGATGACCGAATCGATTTCAGAGTATATAACCACTGACTAACTAATTTATCAGCCAAAAAATGTTATTTATAACAATATTTATCCAAACTGGTATGATTAAGTTAGAAATGACTAATCAAGGATAAAAATGGAACTTCATGATGTAATTGATAATTTTTTTACTTCTGTCTATCTTACCATGTTGATGCGGCACCTTATATTTTCCTGTTTGCGTTAATGATATAATGCATTGTTGTGTCATTGTTTCTGTTCGATCTTCCAGCATCTTCTAAAATACTTGAACTTTTAAGTATCACTCAATATATAAAATACAGAACGTGATTCAAACACCCTAATTAATCTTTCTTAAAACTTGTGGTTTTAATAAAAACTACTAACAATCCTAAGACATCAACGATTAATTGTTGACCGTTTCCTCACTTACTTTATCTCAAATGACATCGTCTCATTTGTATAGAATAACAATCATGATAAATTTAAGCACAACCAGTTTTTTTTAAATATCAAACGATATTTGGTTATCGTATAACATTGTGCTATATACACTTTTTCATCACAAACTGACCTCATCCGGAAAAAATACTGAAAAAAGCACAAATTAGGAACAGAATCATTAAAATACAGATGAATGATCAGCGACCAAATAGTTAATAAATAGAGGAATTTAAGATACAAAAGAAGAATATGTGGAAAAAGTTGGATACGTATATGTCACTGCTAACAATCTAATTTATCATCATATATAATCGTTAACTGTTGAACTCTAACATATTCACCTAAAACAAACAATTGACAGATATCATAGCTACGATTTGGTCTTGATGAAGCTGCTTAATCTTTTATTCTACCAACTACGTAATTTTATCTGGGATATGGTTTTATCTCGTTGGCTGCTTTATAATAACTTCACATTACGTGTCACAGCACTTCACCGTACATTTCCAAATCTTTTTCCCGATGTTGTAACCGTTCACTGTTAGAAAAATCAGTTCCGTTGCTACTTTTTACACATTCCACTTCTGTTCCAATGAGGCATTAATAATGTAACCTTTAATGCAGTTCATTACCTTTAAATATATATATTATGTATAGTTTTGGACTCTAATCAAATAATTTATTTTAGAACCAATGTATACTAATTTATTTTATAAACAGTCACACAGTGATTACAGTTGGTTGATCGTAATTTCAATAGTTGAAATCATGATTCAATTGAAGCTAGACCACTATAAAAAACCTTGAAGCACTGGACGGCCGTTTCGTCCTAGCATGGGACTCCTTCATCATGTGTTCACTAATGACTGACTTCAAGAGGCATTTCCTGGAGTTCTAGTGAGAAGCTGTGACCAGTGGAGTTCAACCAGGTTTGTTGTGAGATATCAGCTCACTGAACACAATGGTGTACGATGGCGCAATTTCGTGGATTAGTTGAAGTTAGACATTAATATCGTTGGATATCGGCTAGATCAGTGGTCTAGTGGTTAAGCGCTCGCGCGCGATACTGATAGGTCCTGGGTTCGAATCTCGCGAGGGGTGGGGTCGTGGATACACACTGCTGAGGAGTCCCATACTAGGACGAAACGGTCGTCCAGTGCTTCCTAGGTTTTTCATGGTGGTCTAGCTTCAATTGACTCATGATTTCAACTATTGCGACTACTGAAATCTCCACAAAACCCCTTCTGATAATAATCGTAATTTATTTAGATATTTTCGTATGTTTTTCGTCACTTGCAGCTGTACTGAATACCTAATTAAATCATTTTAAAACGAAATGGCGGCTATTTTTCGTTTATTCTCTTTGAATACCCACCTTTATCTATGTGCGCTTTTTATGCTAGCTCTTTTGTATTAGACCTTTTCAGGGTAAAACACGGTAGACAAAAACTCTGAAAGTCTGCACTTCTCTATACAAATTGAACTTTTTGCTACTTAGTGTAATACCTTCATCCGACTAAGTTATTCAGTAAAAAAGTGTGTTGGTTTATTCTAATCCACCACTTTTTGTAATTCTCCTATATGTTAATTTAATAACAGCTGATTGATCCATAATTTGAATCTATTTGTTCTCAATTATTTAAATATCTTAACAACATACCTTTTAATTTAAAAAAAACCAAAGTAAATACCGTGATTTGTTTTTGCATTTAAATGAATAAACCTCCACATGTTTCTAATAAATGAAAGACAATTTAGTTTATTCTAAAACTAATTAATAAGTGTTAAATATATTTGTGATAATTAAATTAATAATATGGTTATATTGGTCTGGTAGAATAACCAGTTACCTTCACGTTATTTAATATGCTTTTCAAAATGTAGAACTTTTATTTATTTTCCTATTCGAATAATACCATTCAAGGTGCTACATAAAAAGTTGTATTAAGCGTTTAATTAAGTAGTGTATTTCTATAATATTCATTAGTATTCAAAATGAGGTAGTCAAGATTGTAGTTCAACTAAATCATGTTGCATTTCAATTATCATTTATTCTTAACTGATTACCTCAATAAATTCCTAATTTAGTTTGTTTCAATTTTACACATTTTAATCCCTTGATAAATTTAAATAAACAAGGTTAGTAGATTAACGTAAATTTATTGTATTTCAAGTCTTCTCATCAGCTGCAAACGATCTAAATTTACAATTATTTATTTTATCATAGAAAAAGTAGGCTGGTATCCCTTAATCAACAAAATAAAGTTGGGAAAATGTCAGAAACGGGATGAGAACACAAAATATTTAACATTGTGGTTAAGAATGACTAGTATTTATATGTTGATAGCAAAGTCATATAAAGAAGAAAATAATATAATAAATAATAATTGAGCGATGAAATGAGAAAACAAATAATTCTTTTCGACAAATGGTTTATAATATAACCCAATCACCTAGTTGATATAAAATTCAAGTTAACATTGTTAGTGAATATTAGTGGGATCTTTTTTCAAACAGAAATTAAAATAAAAAGATTATATAATCGGCAACATTCAAATTTACCCTTATTCTGCATTCGCTACTTCCTAAACTCCCAATATTCTATTGTACAGTTTAATGTTAAATTCGTTGAAAAGAGATCCCTTTGCTGAACTTCGTGCTTTTAAACAACTTCTGTTGACTGCTGATAATTGTCTGTCGAACTAATTTAGATATTTTTCTTGGTTCTATAAATCTTTTGCAGTAGTTTTGATACATTTGTTGAATTGTTCATTAAATTGTTTCCTGTCACTTGTGAACAATATTTTCTTCATATTTTTTTGTTTTAGTGATCGATTACGTACCGTTGTAAATGTTATGAGTCATGGTACTTGTGTTCTATTCATTCATATGAAGTTACACCAGGTGAGTTCTACGTCGAATAATCAAAATCATTTGATTCAAACCACAGAAGTTATCAAGGATTCAGCATCATCCAACAATGTATTATAGCTGCTGTTGAACAATTCATTGATTAAAGGAAAATAGTGTTCGGTTGTTGTTTTTTTCTTGCTTGTGTTTTATTGTTTGTTTTTCTGTTCACCAAAGTACACCCTTGTATCATTTTTGTTTTATCTATTGGTCTTTTCACTGTGATAACTAATTTGTTTAATTTATGTTGAATAATGCCTACCCTTTGTTATTGATATGATGGAAAGAAAAGTCAATTTTCCATTGATTTACTCATTATGAGTTCTGTTCAAAATTACTTCCGTTTTGATTCAGTGTAGTGATTACTCAATGTAGTATTTGTTTTCTTTTCTCGTATGATATTTTATTCCGTATACTATGCGATATTCTTGTATTCCATTGACATGAACTATACTCAGTCTATGATTTGTTATAACTCTAAGTATTTTTCCTATATGGGATTTCATCCTAATTATTAATCAAAATGAGCGTGCAATCAATTTATAAATGAGTGTATTTTCTACTAGAATGGTCGTCGTCGTCAGTGTTTTGGGGTTAGTAAATCATCACTTATACTAGTCTTGTGTTCTTACTTTCGCGTCGTGGGAATTGCAGAGGTCTCTCGTTCCGAGTATAAGTGATAAGCGTTTCCTAAATAACAATCAGCGACGACCAGATGCAAAAATGTAGCATTAAAAGAGCCAAGACAATAAGCATTTAAACGACAAATTAGAACAGTTATGTTTACCAAAGATGTATTTTTATTCCAAGTTTGTGATATTTTCATCAAAAAGGAAAATTTTTCTAGATCATATTATACGATGAATAAATTCGAATAAAGCTTGATGAGACTTCGACTGGTTTTTACAGGGTACGAACTAACCAGTGGCTTCATTACATAAACTTCTAGCCAGGTTTACTTTTCATTTTATTTACAGACTGTCATAGAGATTGTTAAAAGTTTACTTTTTTGTTTTGTATATTTTTTGTCATATATTTTCTTTAATTTTCAAGAATAAACATACTTAGTTCAGTATTCTATTATTTTTGTTTGATAAGTACATGTATTTTTCGTTTTCAAGTGACTTTTGTTGAGTGTAGAGCAAATCATTAGAATTTTTAACTTCAATGTAACATTAGTCTTATTCAATAAAATATAAACATTTGTAAGTAGAGTATTATGGATAAGTCTTTCGTTTTATGGTCAGTATAACAATGTAATACTTCTTTCTTTAAATAGTATTCTATTCGAATTAACTAGTTAAATGGGAAGGGTCCAATATATTTATCCATTGTTATATTAGTTTACAATTTTGAAGTGCTTCAGCGAGTATTCATAAAATTCAATAGAACACAATAGGACGAAACGGCCGTTCAGTGCTTTCAACTTTTCCATGGTGGTCTAACTTCAATTGACTCATAATCTCAACTATTGAAATTACTACAATCTCCACAAAACCCGTTTTGATTATAGAATATTGGTTAAAATAATAAGTCGAAAGAAAAAACAACACTAAATTGTGCTAAATCTTTTTTATCATCATCATCAAAGTTATCTGTGTTAAAAAATATAAACTCATTATGTCACTTATTCACCATACAATATAAAAATCACATAATGATTGTCAATTACATTTTACAGATTGAATTATATAAATGATGCATAGAATAAGAGTTTGTTGTGATTTTGTTTTAAATATTTAACAATCAATTTTACCACGAAAAAAAACGGGCACTATTTACAAATTTCTTTTTCAATGCAAAAATCATATTTGATATTTTGTCCTCTGTATGGCATAAAATAGATTAACTGAAAAAAATCATCCATAAAATTATTGAAAATAATTAGCATTAAAAATGGAGAAAAAAACGAAGTTGAGCGAAGGGATCTCTTTTCAACGAATTCATTATCAAGCTGTAAAATCGTATATATGTGAAAATTTCTTTGTTAAAGTACTAATTCCGTGAGGAAATGTAAACACGAACAACCAAGATTACGTAGTACGAAAAATAACAATAGACTTAGTGAATATAATAAGATGATTAAAATGTTTTTGTTACAATAATTAAAGGTCATAGAGGTGTAAAAATAAATAAATAAGGTGATATGATGAGTATTTATGAGTAAAATAATGAGAATATAAGACATAAGTAAGGTGGAATGCAGTAATAATAATAATACTTAAGGCCAAGGTAACGATAAGACGTACTTCTTTTGTACGCACAATTCTGGTTTAAGCTCATGGATGGCAAGAGCTCCGACTATTTTTTTAAGAATTGAATAGGAAGAAATCTAGGCAGATTTGAACGAATCATATAAACAACCTTAAGATCAAACTGTGGATCCGTAGAATGATTACAGTCGATTAGGTGTTCAAGTATAGAACTCCTAACTGCTTTCCTTTCACCCTTGTAGAACCAAACTGGGATATGTCCCCGTATCCGAGTTGAAAGCGAGCGCTGGCTACGGCCAATGTACCTTGCTCCACAAGAGCAGGTGAACTGGTTGATACACATGGAGGCGACCATACGCGTAAGCTTATCTTTTATGGATACAGAAAATAAGTTCTTACTAGTGAACGTTATTCGCAGTTTAGCCGCATTAAATGTTCTTTTAATCGCTGTTGTTAGACGGTTTTTGATTACGTCTGATGTTCGATCACCTTTAGATTCCAGACTTATATAAAGGTTTTTCTTTGGGACGGAACAACTAGGTTTCCTGTCGCAACTACTATTCATATTCTTCTCTATGGAACGGTCTGGGTAGCTATTTTTCGTTAAGGTTTTCTTGAGGAATATGAGTTCTCCGTTGATGCATTCCGCACTGCATATCCGATGTATTCGATGACGTGAAGAAACATTTTTCGAATGTGACGATACTATTGATTTAGAGGATATCTTACACGCCTTTAACTCATGCCACCCTTCCATAGACTTCACGTTAGAAAGGGAGCGAGACCAATCAATCCCTTTTCTCGATGTACGTCTGATGAGGAGTAATGGTTCTTTGAAAAGATACGTCTTTAGAGAACAAACGTGGAATGGCCAGCTAACCAACTTCTATAGCTGGGTTCCGTTGAGTAGAAAGAGAAACCTCATTCATTCATGCAAAATGTTGCTTCAGGATTGGGTCGCATCAACACCCGAACTAATAATAGTGAGTGAAGTAGTTGAGCGTATCTACCGCTTCACTTATCTTGGAAGTCTCATCAACCCTTATTGCCTGATGTGTGACGAAATCTCAGCACGGATACAGAAGGTTCGACTAGCTTTTGCCAACTTGCGTCATTTATGGCGTAGGCGAGATATCCGTCTATCAACCAAAGGACGTGTTTACTGCGCAGCAGTTCGTTCCGTCCTACTTTATGGCAGTGAAACATGGCCGGTAAGAGTAGAGGATATCCGTAGGTTACTAGTATTCGATCATAGATGTCTTCGAGACATTGCTCGTATATCATGGGACCACCGAGTAAGTAATCAATTGATGAAGTAGTGAAACTTCATCAGTTGAGATGGCTGGGACACGTGTTACGTATGCCCAACGACCGACTGCCTCGACGTGCTATGTTCAGTGGTATAGGAGTAGGTTGGAAGAAAGCTAGGGGCGGCCAAACCAAAACATGGCACAAATCCATGAAGTCACTGAAAAGTGAACTGAGTCATGTTGGTAGGTGTAGACTACCTGGTTGGGGACCGCGAGATGGTAGCAACCGATGGTTAGAGACCTTGAATGACATGGCTCAAAATCGTTTGCAATGGCGCAGGTGCATTCACTCTTTGTGTTCTCCCAAATTTTGATCTCCTTATTCCTCCTTGTCTCTTTTTTTCTCTTCCCAAATTTATTTCACTGTATTATACTCTTTAAATAACATCTCCAAACCCTAATCTTCCCGATTACTGCTTATACTCTTATTACCTCTACCACTACGGGATTTGAATCGACCACTGCATCTCTTTGTTAATGTGGTATGGCAACTCGAACTGATGTACGTAAGTACAAAGTCCCACGTTGTTACTGACTGACTGATTTAGTATAATATCAACATACTATTTAGTTTGACATATGCTGTACAGTATTGGCGTCACTTGTTGAAAAACGTTAAGTTAGCTCTTAATTCGTGAATTCGGCGTCAACCCAACCTCCCTATAGTTATCACATCGGATTTAAGACCAAGTTCTAACAATAACTGTAGCATTTGTCTAAGCACTACATAATTATAGTAGCTATGACGTTTTTGAATTTTATTCAAGTGACGAGCTACCAACCTAATATTACTTACAGCTGATTATAAAAGTTGTTTCGATCCAGAATGTCGTACTACTTACTAATTAAGCTTTATGCCGCTTAGGGCCTATTGTGAACTATATTTACAATCAGCATTAGCGTGCTGTTTGTAGATATTTAGTAGTATAAAAAATACTATGTGACAAAATACTTTTTGATTGAGATCATGAACCAATTGATGTTAGACCAACTTTGGGAACCTGGAAGCATTGAACGGCCGTTTCGTCCTATTGTGGGACTCCTCAGCAGTGTGCATCCACAACCTGTATACTAGTAATTAACATGTGCTCACTAGTGACTAGCTTCGTGAGGGAATTCTCGGAGTTCTAGTGAGAAGCCGTGACCAGTGGAGATAATCCATGTCGGGTAGAGACAGGTATCTACCTCAGTACAATGGAAGATGGTCACGCAATTTCGTGGATTGGTTGATGTTAGACACTGTCAATCCTGGATGCCGGCTCAGTGGTCCAGCAGGTTGAGCGTTCGCGCGCGAGACCGAAGGCCCTGGGTTCGAATCCCGTGATTGGGATCGTGGATGCGCACTGCCGAGGAGTCCCACAATAGGACGAAACTGCCGTCCAGTGCTTCCAGGTTTCCAAAGGTGGTCTAACACCAATTGGTCCATGATCTCAATCAAAAACTTAATAATCTCCACAACCCCTATTCTAGTAAAATACTTTTTATCATTTCAATTTGAAACCGTTTAGATTATCCTGTCGTTAATAATTTTGACTGAAATTTGATTAATCATGGTTAACATATGAGCATCCTGTGCTGACTGCCTCTATATTAGCCATTATGGCACAGAATGTTAAACAATAGATCGTATTCGGACGCCCATTTCATCCACTGCTAACCACATCCCATTTGTTCTATGGTTTTATTATGCTGATAGAGCCTATAAAAATTATGTGGAACACTTACAGCTTTTCTAAGTTTTGCTTAATAAATCTTCAGTTTTAAGCAAAAATAAAACGAATTCCCTGCGGCTTTGTCTCAAAAAAATATTTTTTTCTTAACTGTACATAAACTTTATTTCTAATAGAAAAAAAGAAAATTGAATGTAATTACGTACAAAGAAGGGATCATGTGAAATCACTTGAAAAAAGAGAAAACAAAAACAAAAGGAAGAGTAAAACGGTTATTTTGTTTAGTTTCCAACAAATTTTGTCTATAATAAACAAAAAAAATGAGACAATCTATCAAAAAATGGGGATGCGGAAAGAAAGGATGATATATATAAGCAAAAAGTCATGGATACGCGCATATAAAGTTACTGAAATCAATTATGATACTAAAATTTTGTTGACGTCTTTAAAGTTCTATAAAACAAAATAAATAAATTCAAGAATGAGTGAAATCGGATAAAGATGTAAATAAACGTTAGTCTACAGTCTTATTTTGTTTATTTAATGGATTCAACCACTAATTAAAACAAAGAAAGTGAATATAAAGAAAGACTTAAAATTTAAATCATTTTTATTAGTTTAGTGTATGTAAATGAAAAGAATATCGTGGATATCTGTTTAACAAATTGATAAACAAAAGAAAAAAAAGCAACTGAAAAATTCTTTTATTTAATAAGAGATTCAACTTGTATTCACTGGAATATAAAATAGACGATCTGTTGTAGTTAAAGAGTTTGAATTATTACTATTCCTCCGATGATGATGTTCCTGAGTGTCAACAGCATAATGATGCTGTTGATGTGACTGTTGTAATTGATGCTCCTGATGATGAAGATGAGGATAGTTATGTTGTTGATTGTAAGCTTCATCTTCATAATAACCACTAGTAGTATTATTACTATTATTACAATTATTTAATCTATTTATCATTTGACATGATGATGTTGATACTGAGGCAAGAAATGAATTATTATCAAGGCACATTGAATCATGATGTTGAGATAAATTGAATTCAGATGATTTTTGTTGTTGTACAACATTATTACATTCAATTGTTGCAGATGATACTATGATACCTGATCTGGAAGAACATGAAGGTTCTAGTAATAATTCTTCTGATGTTGACAAAGAATTCGATGAAGTAACAGCAGACGCAGCTGCTGCTGCCGCCGCAACAGCGGCTATACTTGCTGCACGTATAATTTCAAGTGCTGGTTGACAATGTTGTCTTGGTCCAGATTCTGGATGATAAGTAAATGTTAAGCCACTCGCATAGATAATACCATCTTGTCGGACTAAACTAATTGGCACCTGGGATAGATAGTAAATTGTACAGAAAAAAATATATACATAATATAAAATTCGGTTGTTCATTCAAAAAAGATTGTAGAAATCCTACTTAACATAATCTGTAGAATGTTTCACTTTGTTACTATTTATTTTCATTAAGCTAAGATTAAATAAAGTTAGAATAATACCGTAAAAATCTATTTGTTAAAGAGTGGATGTAAACGAAATAGATTATTCGAATATACTAATGAAATGTTATCAGCTATCAATGGTAAACATAATTGTTGACGCTCACTGTACAAACTTGGAAGATAATTGATTTTTTTTGCGTCTGACTTAACGAAGATGCTCTGACGTGCATTACCTGCACTGCAGGATGAGTTGAAAGGGTAGTCGTCAAGTTATTAACCCCGAGACACTTGATGAACTGGGATACCAGCAAATGTTCTTTCAGCTCACCGTTCCAGAAAGTCCCCATGCAGCATGTGACGCAGAGCTTCGAACTGCTGTAACGCTGCTTGCCAATCAGCTGGGTCTTCGAACTCCGTCGGCAGTCGGGAAACCAGGACATCCCGTGTCTACTCGTCAACGGAGCCTATTCAACCAAGTCCCACCGTCGCCGAGCCCCGTAGCAGTATCCCTAGAGTCGTCAACTCTGTCCCCAGCTCCCGTACTTCTATCAGCTCCGCAATGTCTTAGAACTGTCCCAAGAAACTCCTAACATTCTCATCCTCAAACGGCCGAGGTCAGGGCATCTTCATTTTGTCCTTGAGCAGCGACACCACTGGCTAAAAGGATGTCTTCTTTCGCTCTCTTGATTTTCAAAGTATTCTGCATATCCCACGCTTTTTGACCTCTTAAAACCATTCTCCTGATGCGACCACAACAACTTCTACTCGACGTTCTGCTAGATACTGTTTATAAGCAATCTTATGAGTAGCGTTCACCACACTAGTAGTACAGTGGGAAACAAAGTAATTTCGAAATTCAGATTTCATTCGCTAAAGCATAAAGATCACACGCACACTATATACGACTGTTAAACTAGGACGAAATATTTTTTCTTAAATTAATTCCTAGTCAACAACCATAGAGTTACAGATGTTGTATTCTTCTTCATCAACATGAAAAAAATTAGAAATGAAACTGAACTGTAATCACTTTTGTAATCGAATTTACACAACAATACAACAAACAAACTTATAAATAACTTTGAAATAAAACATGCTTGTTTCTAACTCATAAACTAATTTCTATATTTTGATAATAATAAGAAAACGAAGGTGAATTTCGATGTAGATTTCCAACATGAGTCGGATGATAATAGGCGACGATAGACATGTTCAGCGATGTTAAATATATTAGATTATATAGTATTGTAAAGTCCTTCTAATTTGGTTTTCACCATGTTGAACGCTTGTACTATCTGACTTAAATGCGATTTTCAATTATTGGTCGGATAAAGTGTGACTATCCATATCGCGTGATTTATCTAGTGTATCATCTAGTAATTTTAATGACTATTATTTAGCGTACCAAGTATTATTCATTATTTAATTAATGACAGAGAAAGCAAGTTTTATCAACGTTATTAATACAATGATAATCTTTTAATATCCTTTAGTCATTTACTCATGTCAGAAATTAATAATATTAAGCTCTATACTTAAATTTGTCTTAAATGTTATTTAAATCATGCTTCAATAATGTGTCATGAAAATGAGTGAACGTTAGAAGATTTAAGTTCCCATGTTAAATATTACTCAAGATGGATTTCATCAAGGATCTGATAGACTAAACAACTTTTTGCTTCAAATCCATACAATCAGAAAATGCATAGTCAGATAATCATAGAAAGTATGGTATTTAACCATAAGGTCTACGTCAATGTCGGTCAGACCATATTGACATCTTCACTAATTACATTTAAAGTTTGTCAAACAATTCAAATCAACTATATCATGCATCATTATTATGGGCGAATTGAAAAATAAAACAGTCACTTCAAATAGCTTCAATTTTTAAACCTTCATTGTTAAGCAATGTATCCGCTTTCTTTGTCATCAACGGTTCGAATGTGGTACTATGACCTGATATAAATGTTTTCAGAATACTAGTGGCAGGACACTTTATATACATATATATCAGACTGTTTGCATGTATAGAGATAACAACGAAATGATTTGTAGACTAGTCTATAGTGATTGATTAATTTTGTTAACAATTGAAGAAATAAATTAAGTTTATCTAGCTTACCTCTAAAGTTTTTTGAATATATGTCCAATCTCTGTGAAATTCTGATATATCTGGAACAAAACATAATATCAGTTCTTCACAACGATAAAATGTTTGAGCTGGAACATCACCAAACCATACTTGATGCCTAGGACTGAAATTTTCACCAATTATTTCAAGCATTGCAACATCTCCACCACCATTCACTCGCATATCTCGTACAATTGGTACAGGTGTAACTGGTGTCAGACATGATGTAGGAGGTGTGATTGATTTAATTTGGCCATCTTTTGTTCTGTATGTATTTGGTAAATGGCTAGGTTCAAACCAACGATATTCCGCTCTATCTGTACTAATAATAGTCCATGCTGCGGCATCATTTATTTTTTCACGCAAAGGATTTTCATCACATGGTGTAGATGGCAATTGGACAATTTTATCTTGTGAAAGACATAAATACATTCTATCTGTATCTTTTAAATGAAATGCACACTTATGAAGTTGACTAACTGGATCGTCAGCATCCAATAGAACAGTTGTTTTGTCTACTTTTCGTACAATCTTGAAAGAAAACGAAATAAATTATATATATGGTAAGAGAAGAAATAATCTAATGGGATAAATATTAGTTTGATATTTCTTACTCTGAGTTGTGAATACATTCACTTAATTGGTCATTGTAAAATAGTTTTGTCGTGTATTGTGGTTTGATTTAGTTACTATATATACTTCCTATGGTATATCGAACTTAATCAGCAAATGAAAAAATTAAAATGAGTAGGATGGTATAATTGCCAAAACCAAATTCTAATATGCACAGATGATAGGTATGCGTACATTTGTCCTTCTGACCTAAGCAAGGACATGTAGGCTAATAGTTTGAGTAGATACATAAGTGACTCCGTTCAATACTGTGACTCATCAGTACATTAAAACGTAATCATTGACTCGGAAATGTTATGTAAGCCAACCGACGTTTGTAAAGGTAAGTGATATGTCTAGACTGAAATCAGCCAGTCAAGTTTACAATTTTGGTAATCGGTAAAAAATAAATGGATGAAAGTCAATAAGCATAACTCTGATTTTTTGTAACTGATTATTGATTATTTTATATACCTTTCAAAGTATATTCTTTCAGAATTACAGCGAAAGGTTATTGGCCACGTACATAGCAAACATATTTCATTTTAAATAAATCTGTTGGTCACGTTATACACTAAAAGTACCATCCATTGGTTAATATGCATTGAACTGTGTATAACATATTAATTAGTATCCAGTAAACAATGAATATCATATTTAATAAATTAACATGGTACTTAAATCCTACTTTCATACTAAGATGATTACATCGAATCAGAGAATTAAATATTTACCACATGGTTTCACTAAAAATAAGAGAATACGATTTGTACAGTAGGAATGTTCATTAAATGCATAGAAACCTACATTTCATATGTGATTGATATATTGCTAAGGTGATTTCATGTTACATAGTTCTTGTCAATAATTTTTAGCTATTTTTTGTAAGGATAACTGGTATAAACGTTTTTCTAAATTCATATATCTCCTCACTGAACTTTACTGTAATTCAGCTGATTATTGTCACTTTTACTCCGTTAATTTCACCATGTTTAAAAGTCAAGTCTTGTTACAACAGACACTCAGTTGTTTGACGTTGAAATTGTCTTTACTAAAAATCAAGATTTTCATGAGTTATTGACTTCTTCCTGCCTTCCATCGTTTTGGATATAATAGTCAATCACCTAGTCTCTCGTGTTCGCACTAGATCCCATCCGTATGAAAACCCCAACAGTTCGTAATTAGAAATTACCGTAGGCTAATACGGAAAACTTTAATTATATATATATATATATATATATATATATATAACTTACCAAACGAGGAAGTGCCATACCAGTTTCTGAACAAACTAATTTCACTGTATGACCGTAATGTATATAACCGTCTTGTACAGTGAACTGTTCAGCTTCATCTTGATCATCAGCTAATAGATTGATTGTAAATGAGCCCCAACGACTTGAACTTGCGTGGAAACTAGCATCTTCAACATGTAAATACCGTGTACTAACGGTTTGTGAACGTAATCTATTGAATAAGGCTATTTTTGTACCAGATGCAATACATACTATAACATTGAAAGTAAAATATTTTTAAAATATTATTAATATTAATCAATGAATCAATTAACACACTGTAGCAAACTCTTTACAAGTATCGTCAAATACAGTATGCCACCAAAATAATTCCTTATATATGCCTAATAGTGATTATTACCTATAGCTTGATTGAAAAAATTTAGTTACCGATAGATATAGAAAGAAAAATGTTGTTCATAATCCAATAACCGATTTGCATAGAAATACATTCAGTATTAAAACAGATGGTGAAGTTAAATACTACTCGTACTGTGACAGGTCTTGCCGAAATTATAAAACCTAGACCAATGAATTCACTCCACTAGCTTACTGGTAAACCTAGAAGTCTTAAATTTAGTCATATGAGGAGTTGTAAATATTAGATTTACAGGAGTTTTAAATTAGTATAAAACAGTCTATTAATTAAACACTTCCTGGCATCATTTGAGATATCAGTACATTATGAAAACAATCTTTCTAAGGTAATAATGAATATTTTTTAAATGATAAGTACTATTATTTCTCTTACGAAAAATACTTGTTTTAATTGTGCTAGGATTTCAACAGATCTTATTCATACAAAATGAACCTTGAATTAATTTCAGAAAAAAAAACCTCCCTACATGGCAAATTATAAACATTAACAATTATATGTACGATTAATGATATCCAAGGGCAGTGGTCAAGCTTCTATATATTGTCCAGCTAAAACATGAAACATACCTCTGAAAGATTAAGTGACCCAACGGAATGAATAAAAACTCACTAGTGAGCTTTGGAATATATTAGAGGTTTATATATGTGCAAAGATGTTTTATGAGTATCAGCAATGCTTAGTCAATACAGCATTCATTTATGAATATGAAACTTATTCTACCGATAACATTAAAACGCATTTAATCTAGTATTTCAATCACAGATATAATTATTGAGGTATGGGACAAATGCCAGAAATTATATAAGATTTCAATATGTACATAAAATAATCAGTTCTTTCCATATTATAAATTCTTTAAAAATAATTACAAATCGAACACATTTAACTAGTTTATAAGTTGTACTTGCCACAGGATGTTCTCAGTTAGGGTACCATTGAAAAGTAGGTAGCACTGGACAGTTGTTTAGCCCTAGTATGAGACTTGTCAGAAACGTGCATACACGGCCTTGCCAGGGATCGAAATAAAATTCTCAAGGTCACATGGCAAGCGCTAACCGCTAGAATCGCTTATTCGGGATTCAATTGTACTATTCCACCTTTGATACATCTGTGATATAGCTTGACCTATATCCAATTATTTCACTTTCGACATATCTGAGCTCCACCAATCACGAATTATTACAAGGACTTCAGGAACATCTTTAAGTAAGTTACTAGTGATCTGATTATTATAATTTAGTTGAAAGGGTTTTGTTGAGATCATTCTGTAATCGATACGACTTAAAAATTAAATCAATCTTCACAAACACCCCTCAAACTAAATATTTAATAAATATTAAATGAAATTTAATGATTGAACAACTATTCAATCACTACTATGAACAATGAAGTATAAAGAAAATGATTACTTACAATCAGTATTTTTTAATGATTGTTTCTTTTTACTTGGTTTTGAAATAACTTTAATACGTCTTGAATGAAATTGACCTAAATCTTTACCATTTTTATAAAACATTTTTAATGTTAACATAAAATATTTTCGTTTATCTGAATCTGAAATAAATAATGTTTTAGCATTTGAATAATCTCTTCCATCATCTAAATTTAATTGAATCATTTCAACTGGAGTAGTTGATCCACCAATACCCATAAAAGCAAGTATCTATAGAAAAGAGAAAATAACAACTCAAAATGATGTCATTATTACTATTATTATTTTTGTAATAAAATGATATTGTGAATATTGAAATTAAGTAGTTAAAAGACTAAATAAATAAAATATCAATAAATTTCATTAAATCATATTGATAATGATCTACATGAACTGTCCAAGTTGACTATGTTTATCAGTAATACTCGCTCTTCTAGAGTCCCATACTAGGACGAAACGGCCGTCCAGTGCTTCCAGGTTTTCCATGGTGGTCTAACTTCAATTGGCTCATGATTTCAACTTTTACACTTTGATGAATTTTTTTAATATTCTTTATCAAATAGTATATATCTTATATCTCGTTCTATTGTCATTACCTCCCTTGCTTACATTTTAATGAGTTTCAAAACACTTTAATCATAGCTACAATAGTAATGTTATTTCCCATTTTATATTCTCTTGAAGTAATACAATGATTTATCAGTTAGATGTTTATCTCTTTCTTTTGTTAATTTCAGTTGTATGGATATAGCAGCGCTTATCATTTCCCTTTTGTTTGCTTAACAAATTTTGTCTCTCAAAGTAACTATGATGTTATACTAAATGTTAGATGTACAGTTTAATAAATGTAAACAAATCACGTGTTATCATCTGGATTAATCGATTGGAAAAGAGAAACAGTTAGGTAGAGAATATCTTGAAGCTACAATACAATAAATTTTTCAGTGATCTACTTAATGATGGGATTAAGGATAGAAAATTATTTTTCAACTGAATAATTTATTCATTTTACTTCTAATGAACTTTGAACATTTTATTGGCTTTACTAATAGCTTTTACCAAACTATAAATAAATATAGTTCCCACACAGTTCTTATGTTTATGCTATACTCCACAACAATCAGTGTATTCCTGATTGTTAAAATAGAATACAAGGATCTGATTTAAAGTTTTTTCAACATGTTTGTAAGTTTTCGTTGTTTATATTCTGGACTGAGTTTGAAGTGAAAGGTACTTGGGTCTAGTTTTAGTGTGAGCACATACATTGAGATGTAAGTCTATCCAGCTGAGTACCTAATCGGACGAAACGAGCTTTCCAGATTCCATTGCTGGTCACATACCAAATATACCTAAAATATTTCACAATAAGTCACGTATTTCTTATAATAGCGTAGTCATTTTTTTCAAATGAACACTTAATCTTTTCTATATTTGATGAGTTTTGTGTAAATCACAAGCAGTCTTGTATCGTATACTTCTCTATTGTTTTCATCACTTTTAATTAATCTTAATCTTTTTTTAAAATTTTTCACATACCTTCATTTAAAATAAAATTTGTAAAGTTTATCAGGCACACTGTTGATCGTTATGTATGGTTAGTTGGCAGTTTCTAGACTAATAATATCATCCAACTACAAGCAGAACATCCTATACTATTAAAGAACTCATATTTGAACTACCTACTTGGATATTTTTGACTTTTCGGACTGAAATGTCTGATAGTTAATACTAATCAACACTTAAGCTTATATAAATTCTTTTAGCTGTGTTAGAATAAGATGGAAAGTAAACTCTTTTCTTCTATATCTCTCTTTACTGGATATCTTAACAACACCATCGAATATACAGCTGCTTTTGAGCTATATTACTAGTTAGACAGAATGTGATCATCCACCGTTTTGGTTGCAATATTGTGAAATTTCTTCATCTCCTACTACTATTAAATATACTGCATCAAAATTCTACATTCTAGATACTAAATATATTTTCAAACCACATCGTTAGATGTCTCTTTCACATACATCACTACTTAATTCATTTACCTAAACCATAAATCTAATAACCAAATGTCAATGATCAAAGACATTCAAATTTTGCTGGAGTTTTGTTCTACGACCAGGCCCAGGACAGAGTGGGTTGGAGAATGCTGGTCTGCGGCCTATGCTCCATTAGGAGTAACAGGCGTAAGTAAGTAAATTGTTCTACGACCAAACCATCCAGCTCAGAGAACAAAACTCCATCAAAATCATCCACCTGAGCTACAAATTTTCTCCACCATCTCACATTCAAATTTTTCAGATTTTTTCACAGCATCCTAAACAAAATCCCTTTCAATTGTTAATGAGATTTTAATGTAAGGCTACAATAATATTTTCCGGGAATAACTTTAGGTCAAAATTCTCAATTGTAATAACATGATTTCTTTAGGTCTATGATTTATCGTTTTTTAAAGGTAAACAATTAACTACTTACTAAAACTGTCACTAACTATTGGAATTCTAATCAAATTATAGAATTAATCATTCTAATTTTCTATACATACATGAAAGCGAAGTCAAGATGAGCATACTCAAATTTTTAGTCTCTTTATTTATTTTAATATGAAATAAGATTCATTACTTACCTGAGATTGTTCTCCTGTAAATGAAGACGATAAGTGTGAAGGTCCTGGAGTAGGGGTAGCTGTTGAATACGATATATTATTATTTTGTAGAGAATATGTTCGAACATTATTTGTGGAATAACTCACTAAATCGGTTTGATCAACAGGTTCATGACTAGAGCTCAATTTTGATTCATCATGTGATGTTTGACCATACTGTAATCCCCACCCTTCACCACGAAGATATACACAAGGTGGAGGGCAGAAAAAACTGTTAAGTAAACAAATAACATTTTTTTAAAATAATAAATTCAAGAGAAACAGTGTAGAGAAAATAGTTTTCCGAAGTTTGATACAAAAGAAAACTAAGTTAATGATGAACTGAAAACTACGAGCTCTTTGACACTTTTTCAATCTATGAACCTATTAAAGGTCAATGCAAATATCAAATAAATATCTAGATGAACTGTTACCAGCTATTGGTAAGAAGTATACCAGATAGTTGCTATCGTTTTAGTTTTTTTAACCATTAGAAAGTCTCAACTTTTAACTATTCTATTATATTGTACATTTGAAGATTTTTAATCATATATATTTATTATTAATGCTATTTGATAAATGGGAATATTTTTGTTAAACAAATTATTACTTTTTTAAAAGACTACTTGAGGAAAAATTGTGTTTTTTACTGAGCAAAACAAGCAACGACTTCCAACACTGTTCTATCAGTAAAGGGGTAAAAAGATTGAAAAGACCCGTTTATCAAAATAAATGAACTTTAGATTAACAGATAAGTAACATGATAAATGATGGGCTTACAGACATTTATTGGTTATGTGGTGTGTGCTACTTATATAGGCATAAGTAGTATATAACGTGAGTCAGAATATTATGTCTCGCAGAAGAAGATTAAGAGAATCAAGAAGGGAAGAACGGGAACAGAAAGCGATTGGTACGGAAATGCAGGAACAGTGAAGTCTGAGACGACTGTTTGACATTTTGCAAGTATTCATTGTATGGTTCTCAGATTTTACTAAGATGTTCTGTAATTTTGTGTTCAAATACATTCGATTGTCCCCACTCGTGTTCTTAATCATTACAGTTAGATTATATTCATATTTGTTAAACATTTGTATGTTTTTAGTTTCCTTAATCATATCGTTTAACAAGTATATGCAGGAAGTATATAATAGATTGTAATTTGATGTGTTAATCCTCATCGTCTAGCGCTATGTGAGTCAGTTGAATTAGGTCAAATGAATTGGGTGGTTTATTCAAGAAATGTGTTCTTGTTTTTACCCATTCTAGTCACTATTATTTACCACCTGAAACCGAAATTGTATCACAACCTATATTTTAATAAATTTGACGGTGAATCTCATCGAAGGTTATGCAAAATCGGGGTACAACTCAGCTATACTGTTGATCTAATAAAGATCAAGAAAATGAATTTTAGTGTTTTGTACGAAGGTCGAAGAGTATCTTAAAAAATAACCTATACATAAAGCCTGTATTTCTTAGAATTGACAAGAGAATGTGTTTAGTCCTATTAAATTATTTGAAAATAATACAGCCTAACAACTAAATCATACGTGATCGCTTGCATCGTCAGATGTAAACATTAAAAATTAATTTGTTCCCCTTTCATTTGCTCAAAGTAAACACTTAACTAATGCATTTTATTATACAGGTAGACAACCATGATCACATAATTATAGACCGCATAAATCTCAAGGAATTTATGGTAGAATTGTTTCCTCTCTTATTACATACAATTATTCTGTTTAATTTGAATTTATTTAATCCACCAGTCACGCATTTTTGTTATTTTAAGTTTGCTTACTTATAACTTTGTGAGTAATATGTATTAATACTAAAAATGTAGTAGGCTAATAGTAGACAAAGATTATTTTTACGCCTTTGGTTTTTACGGAACTAAAGCCGGTGAAATGTCTGCAACTTTTTCTCGAATTCTTAAGAAAATCAGCTTAGTAACACAAAACAATCTCGCTCAACGATTCATTAAACAAACATTGTTCTTAATTGACTAAGATAAATCTACAATCAAACAGCAATACAAATACTCTATCTATGAACAGATGAATTTCCTCTGAGAAAACGTAACTAAATCTCAACAAAATCTTAACGGATATGAAGTACAAGTCAGCACTGAAATCACAAATACCCGCTCCTTACTGCTTTTTTTCCATGGAAATATGAAAATATATACACCAACTTCTAAACAAATATTGATGAAAAATGAAAGTGTACACGCTCAAAACTACGAGACATTCTCTATGTGGCATAAAATGGACAATAAAAATCCATAAATAGTCAACAGAAAAAAGGACAAAGCAGAGAAAAGACGTGTTTTACCATAGTATTAACTTTACTAGGATCATCATATTATTAGAAAGGCTTTATATTTTCCTATTGTTGACGCGTTAAGGACTATCATTGACCAGTAGTTTTTGACAAGTAAGCACTTCGTGAGGATCACCTCAACGTTTACCATTTAGTTGGACGTTTTTATTAAAGTTGGATATTGGCTAACTATAAGATTCAGTGTATGTATTTCATTCTGTTTGGGACTCGTCGGCTGAATGTACCTTCATCCCGATGTTGATGTTGGGACTCAAAACCACTATCATTCGCTCCAAAAGCCCAATCTGTTATCCACTGAGCTTCTGAGTCTAGACAGCAAATAGCTTTGTAATTATATGATTATTAAAATCTCTGGTCATGATATTATCTAAAAATAATACGGTCACTTGTGATGTAAATATATTAGACGATGGAATAACTTGTCCAATTTATCATACCTAGTTCTAAAGACTTTAATCCTGTGGTTTCCTTCAATTTAGAAAATTACTGTTACTAAGTATATGTATTTATTTCTTTTTTTTGCTGATCAGAGCATCATCAAAAGTTACATTAAATTTTCTTGAATGAAATTCACGAAATATTGAGCATTTACTTATTTTCAGTGGAAAATTTAATGAAATATATATATATATATATATATATATATATATGAATCTAGAGTTGATTATGATATAATAGTAGGTTTTTACAGATGGACGTTTCATTAAACAAACATTATTTACTGTACCTATTGTTTCATTATAACTTTACTAGATAGATGTTTCTTGAATGAAGCTACAGATTAAAAGTTGATTTAAAATATTATGGAGTTATTCATTAAATTACAAAGTAGTTGCATAAATTGTATTCATATAGATAGATATGCATTTATCTTAGTTTAGCAGTAATTCATGTTTCAACTAATTCGCAAAACTGTCCTACACAGAACTAATAATGCATATTTTACAAATTTAGTTATAAATTGTTAAATAAATATACATATATTAGGAAGAATATTTACCTCAGTAAAATTCGGTGGCAGTTCGTAACTGATATAGATACATCCACTTGATGAGTCACAAAAAGGAGAGGAGCATTTTGGAGCCCATTGACAGAGACAATCAAACTTTACTACAACTAGTGACTAGATGACAATATCAAGAAAATCTGCTCAGAATGAGACCGATAAATTTCAGTCTTAGAACACCAACAACTGAATAGTACAAACCGTTATAAATACAGTGCTTACTTGTCTATCACTTAGATTGTCATTGTGAAGTTTTAATTCATACATATCACCGAGGCTTATACCACATTAAATAATATCCTATATACATATGAACGTGTGTATATTCTGTATTCGGAAATGTTTTGTATATAGTTCAAAACATTTTCATACCTTGATTTTTTACCTACTACTTAAAGTAGACTATGTCATATAAGGAAACTTTTAGTATGATGCATTAAGCAGTTCGTTAGAAAACTGTTAACTGAAAGGATGGGGGGTTAGGAAACTTTGTTAAAAATTGTACCTCCAGACTATACGCATATGGCTTTACATGTTGTGACGATATTCCACTAGTAGTATAAATCATTTTAATGTAGATTTAATCATTAATTTATATTATAAATGTAAATAGATAAATATAATTCATGTTTCATACAATCAAATATTAAGCAAACGGTTACATGGTAAATGTCTTGACGACTGGTGAAAATAGGATTTATTTTTTTAGAAATAACTAATAATGTTGTTCATATTTCATGTATTCAATCTTTTTTACATTTTATTTTCTTGAGATTATCATGATAAGGCGGGGTTCATATGTTTCAAAGTTTATTGGTGAAGTTAGTTTAGTAAAATGATTGTTTATACACATACAGAGATTCTTGATAAAAGATAATTAAAGCTTTACAATATATATATCATGAAAGGTGCCATAAAAAAGTGATTCTCATAACAAACTGCTTTTCTTTTTGTGATCGAGAGAAATAAAGATTCTGGATTTAATCCTAGTCTGGGTTGTGGGTTCGCACTACCGAAGAATATTATACTATGAATGAAATAGCTATCCAGTATGCTACCCGGTACTTCAACTGATGTAAATCTGTAACAATAACCACTTTTAATTTGTTTTTCTCTAGCTTTGATAATACCAATTGTTAAATGTTGAACGGCTTTAAAATACTTTGATTTGTTGATACATTTTCTCTTTTACCCACTCAATACTTATAAAGAGACAAAGTCTTAGGTGTACAATTTCTATGATGTACTTTATAAGAATACTTACTTTTAAACAATTACACATTTTTGTGCATTAAGTCCCAGTATCTTATATTAATTAATTACTGTGTAAATTATTTTAACTCATTATTCATAAGCTGAATGTGTTGTATTAAGGTAATTGACAAGAAAAAAAAGAAGGGATTAATGTCATTTCAAATTAAGACATGTAACTTTAACTTAACTGAAATACTTCCAACATACTTTAGTCTAGATACTCAGATAAGATCATAATGATTATGCTTAATACAATAAGATTTAATCAACAATAAAGATGTACATGTAGTACTGAATTATCATTTCATTGACATTATTGGTTCACACAAAATATTGAAGTTTGACTAAACGTTCGTTGTATTTTTTTTGGTTTTAACAACTGTAAAACAAAATATCGAATGGTAATTGGTTAAATGGAGGCGGAACAGATCGATTTAAAGGGTATTTTCAATTTACATTGATATTAAATGAAATGCTGGTTTTACAATATTGTAAAACCCTATATTCAATAATGGCTTGTAGGCTGTAAACAGTTTGACAACTAGTTCTTATTCAGTTTCATTTATTATTACAAAAACCTTCCCCCAAATGCCCTGGTATGGCCGAAAGTGGGGTGGTCCCACCCTCTCTCTCAAAATGCTCTCACACGGCCACGCGTATACAGCCTCTGTCAGGGACGTCTTACTCACTGCCTTCTCGTGGCACCGGTGTTGTTTACGAAAATGAGAGGACGAAAAGCGAATGTCCGGCGCTTAACCGGATCCCAGTATCCTGCGGGAAAAAATGGCTTATGAACCAATTTTTGGTCACCAGCTACCATGGGACTACATCTCCTCACGATGCCTCACTACCTTGTGGGTTAGACCTTTAGGTCAAAGGTTCGGGGTGTGGCCTCCTAAGAAAACCACCTACTTAGGTCTGGGCACCCGGGCAGTATCACAGCCCTCACACCAAGTGTGGTGCATATATATTTGGTGCCCTCTTGTACCAATATTTATGTTGAAATCATGAGTCGATTGAAGCTAGACCACCATGGAAAACCTGGAAGCACTGGACGGCCATTTCGTCCTAGTATGGGACTCCTCAGCAGTGCGTATCCACGATCCCGCACCACGCGGGGCTCGAACCCAGTGCTTCCAGGTTTCCCATGGTGGTCTAGCTTCAATCGACTCATGATTTCAACCTGTGAAATTTCTATAACTCTCCACAAAACCCATTCTGACAATATTTATGTGTTCAAACAAACAAACAAATTACAAAAACCTCGAGAGAACGAATGCCAGTATAGAAGAACAATTGAATTAATTCAAATGAAAATCATCTACTACTTAGTAACCAAGTAAAGTGATAGTTCTAAAATTAAAATCGCATGACATAAAGTTACCGAACAAGTATTTGTGAAAATAATCAACTATTAAACGTTAGAAGATATCAGTAGGACTTCAAAAACCACTGGACTTCACCAATAGTTTTTGCTGAAGAAAGAGGGATAATATCACTTTAAAACATGTTATCAACTATGCACTAACTACTGACACTTCGTTATTATGTAGCATACTAGTAAGTTTGGAAAAATTACTCATCAGTGTGATCAGTCAGTTCATAAAAAGTCATTCAGTGGAGAATTATGCATGAAGGAATATTGGAACATAAAATTTAGTCCAAGATAGAGACTGAATAAATCTGCAACACTATGACTTATTCCGGCCCATATCACTCAATGTTTACAATTAACTGATAAAAACTAGATATTTGATTATGGGAAATTAAAAAGTCTACTACTGTTTTTCATGTGAATCTATTTCTCAAAGTATGACTTGATTGGTCATTATACTTATCATGAAATGATTGTTTGTATACATTGGTATTTTGAACAAAAACTAAGCATAATAATCGAATGATAAAAAACTGAAAAAAACTAGTTAACGTTTATGATATATATATGCGTTTGAAAACGATATAACAAGTAAATCTCTAGTCCTTGCTTTGTTTTAAAAAATCTCAATGTTCATTTAAGTACAGAATACAAAAAACGACCACAATTTCTATGTGATAATATTATCTATACTGAATGAAACCTGCTGAGATACCGCTTTACTCTAGATTATTATGTACTCTCACCTAGTTCTCTCCTACCATATTTACTAGCTGCCATATATTTATAGATATATGAATGTAACATACTCTGCATGGGGCATAACGCGGTAGGACAGAAAATATATAACAAATTTTTTTGATCTAAATATACATGTTACCCAAGATAGAAAGTTGTTTTTAAAAATTCTTAACTAAAAAAAATATTTGCATAGTTTCCGTCCATATAACAACAATAAACTATTCATACAAAAATTAATTGTGTCAAATATTGGGAAATCTTTTATCGAAAACCTTGATCAGTTCATAAATAAATTGTAAGGGAAACAAATTCTCTTTGTGGTACTATTAGAACTGCTTTTTTGGATGAATGTTAACCTTAATGAATATCTTCGGTAAATTGTTGTTGATTTCATCTGAACAAATTTATCTTGCGCAATGATAACAGAAAATCATCATTCCCCACCTCCAACATACTGCTGTTTTACTGATTTTAATTATATAAAATCTTTGATATATGATAAATATATATATTTCTCTGCCCATATTAGTAAATATGCTTGCGCGTATCCATATGTAATCAACCACCCAATTGTTTACAGTATTCACTTAGGCGTTTTAAATTGATTACGTTAATCAGTAAGTTGTATTTCTCCACTCAGTTTATGTTTAAATAACTTCGAGATGTAGTTATCTTTGTGCGTGTGTGTGTGTGTGAATGAATGAATGAATGAATCATATCCCACCTTAGAGAGGGAGGGTGAGAATAAATAATCAACATAAAACAAACAATTCATATCTTTACGTTGACCATTAAAGCTGAAAAGTCTAATAATAAAAAATATATAAAGACCGCGAAGAACTAGACTAAGGTTTTGACCTGACATGGAACGCCTCAGCAGCGAGCATCCGTAATGTTACTGAGGATCGAACGCAGGTTTTCCAGATTTCGTGATGAGAGCTTAACCGTACGAGTCGGTGTCCAACAGAGAGGTGTTTACCAACCGAATATGATGAAAGATGTTTGCATAATACCGTGAAGTGATTGAATATGAACATATATCCTATTAGATGTTGGCTCAACAGTCTAATGATTAAGCTCTAGCCGGGATAACTGACAGTCCCAGGTTTAATCCCCCATGAGATCGTGAACGCCCAGTGCTGAGAAGTTCCATACTAGAACGAAATAACAGTCTAGTGCTTCCTTAAAAGTATAAATCAAAACTGATACATTACAAAATATGTTGTCTATAATAACCTGTCGATATATATTAATGCAATTTCATTTCATTAACTACAATATGTATTTTATTATGGTTTATTATGATTTGTATATGTGTAGTGATATTTATCAAAGAAAAGTTTAGAATATTACATTTTATACACTTTCTAAAATTATAAAAATATATATTCTTTGTTCAAACTTGTTTCATTCAAGTAATTACCATTTTTTCATTTTGATGAAAAGCAACAAAATATATATCCTTGAGTTAGTAATAATAAAATGTACAATGAATCCATGAGTAACATTAAAGAGATGGTCATTTTACTGCTCATATAAAGTTTGAAGTTTAAGAAAATCAATAACAATGTATCATTGGGAATGTCATTGTCACTAAACAGTTTCACACATGATATTAAGTGTATGAACATACAATTCTTGATTATTAAGTTGTATTATTCACTCTTTTACATTAAAAAAATATGACTAATGATGAAAGAAATAGGAAAAATAAACTGAAAATGGTTGACTTCATGCAGTATTTAGTTAACACAGTGATAACGTATCAGATGGAGCAGCTGAGCAACTTGGATTCTAATTCACCACGGAGCGTTAGTTCCCTCCAAGATTATAAATACACTTTGTTGATTAGCAAAAACCAGTACAAAACCTAAGTCAAGAAACGTTTCCTATTGATGACTTTTAATCACCTAACATTTAAACATAATGCATATCATTTTTAGTCACTTGCACAAATGGACACATTTCAAATTCACTGAGAGAATTTGATGAGCACCAAGAAGGACCTGATGACATTCATAACAATGGTCACTACTCAATGATCAACCACTTGTATACTAAATAAGTCCCATACACAATTTTACATAGCTTACCTAATAAACATTCGATGGTAACTATTTGAAAATAAACAGTTAGAAGCACTACAGCTTCTCAATGCTAATCGGCACTCATTGACCGTTTCAAGAAAATGCATTTTATCTTTCATCAATGTAGAAGTATTAAATACTGTATGGATGTTTAAAGCAATACATTAATGCAAAGTAACACTATTGTTTATTCGGTAACATATATGTACCATAATTTTCTAGTATGTCTGTGTGGTCCCCCTCATCAAAAAAAATACATAAGAGAATCATATCATTACAACCTTAGAAATAACGACAACAACAATTCTAACCGAGTTCTACTTTTTTTCTTTGTTTGACAAAATAATTAATTGATGAATTACTTTTCTAAAAGAAAACTAGAATGAACCAATTTTTTAGGATTTCGATCAGTACCATTAGAACAAAAATCAGATAGTGAGCTCAATTTCACACGACTTACTTTTATTAATCATGTACTGTGTGCTAAGCCAACAATTTTTTCCACAGTTAAAAATAATAATTTATAGATCAGTAACTTTCTAGTAACTTCATCTGGAGCCGCCTCTAGAGCTACTATAGTTCTCGAGCCCGAGTAACAGATGGAGGTTGAATGTAAGATTAAAAAATATACTACCTCATAAACAAAGAACTCCGTTATAGTATCGTGAATCGTTAGCTTTCAATTACTGCAATTTGTTTTTCATTTCTAACGGTTCATGAATAACAACATCTGATGAGAATAATTCAGTCGATACTGACAATATGTAGCAATATATTTTTTGATAGTAAATGTAGCTTATTTTCAACCTGAATACACTATTTTAAAAAAAATAAGTCTTGTACTTTTTCACTAAGTATAAGGGATATAAATTACTTACCGTTTTTCTGTTCCATATGATTTTTGAGCAACTTTTGCATGAAGTATGATTAGAATTTGATCCCGTCGATCAACGAGATAGGCTCTCATCATATCTCTTGTCAATATACTTAATGATTCACAACAACCGGTATTTGTAGGAACAGCGATAATACCGCCACCACTTTCACCACTACTCATAGTGGCTATATTTGAACTATCAGCTTCTTTCGATCGATTAGATAACAATGTTGATGATGAAGAGCTTGATGGGAAATTCATTAAATTCTCTTCAGTTTTAAGTAGTAATGATGTTGACTGTAAAATATCTAATTGAATATTGTTTGTATTTTCACCTTGATCTATTCTACTCCTGTTGATTTGATCATAATTTTCATCAAATATTGACAAATTCAAAGAATTTAGTGATTCTCTATATAATTTATTACTATTTGTATTATTAGTAGTACTAGTAGTAGTAGTGGTAGTAGTAGTATTGATAGTACCATTGTTAAGAGTGGTTTTGATGGTAGATTGACCATTATTATTGTTTATTATTAAATGATTGGAAAGATTGAATAATCTGTTTTGATCGAGTTGAAATTCTTTTAATGATGTTAAAATAAGTGGATTATTATGATTAGTATTAGTATTGCCCGATTCACATGTATTCAACTGGAATGTTTTATTAAATTGTGTAAAATCATTAGTTAATTGTTTACTATTATTGTGTTCATTAGAATTTCTGTCTATTTGTTGTAAAGAAGAATTCATATAAGTCTCTGAACATGATGATGATGTTGATGATGATGATGATGATGATGATTCCGATGATAATGATGATCTTGGAGCAAATTGATTATCTAAAGATAAATGATTCACTAAATTTTCTGAAGGTTGAACTCGTGTATTGAAAAAATCAATATGATCTGAATTGTTCGCCCGATCTTGTTGCTGAAGTATTTGTTCTTCTTTGTCGATTATCTTAGACAATTGTCGATCATGTAATAAACTGTCAGGAATAGATTGATTTTTCAATTTATTACTGAAAAATAAACAAAGTCCTTTTCAATATCTAAAAAATTATTTTGATCACAATTATAATTTCTAATTTATGTAAATACCATTCACTACTCACACAGGCTAATAAACTTTTAAAACATTACGTCTTGAATTAGATTTTAAGGGAGAAAACAGTTTTACACTTAAACATAAGTCAGTCATAATTATGAGACAGTACTTTTGTAATAAAGAATCATCAAGGTGACCTGACGATATGTACACAAATATGTATCACCGTTTATTCTTCGGAGGTCACGAGGCCGATGACCCTTCTAACAACCAGAGCAACAATTTTTATAGGTACATGGAACATCTGATCAATGTGGAAGATGGGGAGGACCAGTCAAATAGCAACGGTAATGAGGAGATACAACTTGGCAGTACTCGGAATCCGCAAAACCCATTTGTCTCAAGCTGGACAGGAAAGGTTAGATACGGAAGAGATGCTGATGTACTTCGGTCACGAAGAGGAAAATGCTCCACACACTCGGGGACTTGCTCTGATGTTGTCCAAAGAAGCACGTAAAGCACATATACGATGGGAATCTCATGGACCCAGGACCATCAAAGTATCCTTGAAAACAAAGAAGGAGGAAATCACTATGAATGTGATCCAGTATTGTGTACTCACCAATGATAGCAACAAAGACAATAAGGATCAGTTCTATGAGAGGCTTCAGTTGATCATAGTGAAGTTCCAAAGAAAGGATCTCACCATCCTGACGGTAGACCCAAACGCCCCAAGTTGGAATGGATAACACCGGATATGAAGATATCATAGGACGACACAGAGTGGGGAGAGAGAAACAAAAATGGGGAGAGGCTTGTGAACCAATGTGCATTCAACAAACTGGTTATAGACGGCATAGTATTCCCACACAAACTCGTACACAAAGCTTCGTTGGTCTCACCAGATCACAGCACGAAGAACCAGATAGGTCATATTTACATCAATAAAAAATCCACAAGGTCAATGGAAGACGTGAGAACCAGGAGAGGTGCTGACATAGCTTCAGATCACAACCAACTGGTGGTCGCCAAGATGAAACTGAAGGTGAAGAAACACTCTAAAACTGGGAAAACAGCACTACAAAGGTTCAATATACCCTTCCTTCGACATACTGTCAAACTCAGCCAATTCAACATAGCTCTCAACAACAGTTTTCAGGTCTTGCAGGATATACAGGAAGAAGAAACTACTATGGAAGACAACTGGAAAGGGATCAAAGAAACACTGACTTCAAAGTGTTAAGAGATTCTGGGCCGCAACAGGCATCATCATAAGGAATGGATCTCTATCGAAACCCTGGACGAGATTCAAGAAAGGAAGAACAAGAAGAGAGCAATTAACAACATCCGAACAAGAGCAAAGAAAGTCAAGGCACAAGCTGAATACACCAAAGCAAACAGGCAAGTGAAGAAAAGTATTAGAGCCGACAAGCAGAAATACGTGGGAGAGCTAACAACGACAGCGGAAAAAGCTGCAAGAGAAGGAAATAGGAAACAACTAAATGACACGACGAAGGAACTGACAGGAAAATATAATAAACCATAGTGATCAGTCAAGGACAAAGAAGGCAAGCTAATTACTGAGATTTAATAATAGAAAAAAAGATGGGTGGAACACTTTGAAAATCTCTTGAATGGACCGGCCACATTGAACCTATCGGACATCAAAACAACACACACAGACCTTCCTACATATGTCACTCCATCAACGATCGAAGAGATCAGTATGGCCATCACACAAATCAACAGTGGGAATGCAGCATGACCTGACAATATACCAGCCGAAGCATTAAAATCACATAGAAGTAACTACACATGCTTCACTTTCTATTTAAGAAGATTCGGGAGGAGGAACAAGTGCCGATAGACTGAAAAGAAGGACATCTCATCAAGATACCAAAGAAAGGAAATCTGAACAAATATGAGAACTACAGAGGAATCACTTTACTGTCAGTACCAAGAAAGGTTTTTAGCAGTGTTGCTGAACCAGATAAAAGATTGGATTCCGTAAGGACCGGTCGTGCACAGACCAAATCGAGTCACTACAGATCATTGTTGAACAATCATTTGAATGGAACTCGTCACTAAACATTAACTTCATTGACCATGAGAAGGCGTTTGACAGTGTAGATAGAAGAACATTATTGTAACTTCTTCGACACTGTAGAGTACCAACTGAGATCGTCGGCATTATCTGGAATTTATACGACTGACTACAGTGTAAAGTGGTGCGTGGAGGACAGTTGATAGATGCATTTCAAGTAAAGACCTTTGTCATAAAAGGCTTCTTACGCCCCCTTCCTCTTTCTTCTGGTGGTCGACTGGATTATGAAGACTTCCACATTTGAGGGAAAACACGGAATACAATGTAGAGCTCGGAATCAATCAGGAGATTTGGACTTCGCAGATGACCTGGCCCTTTTATTACACACACGAACAAATGCAGATGAAGACAACTATAGTAGCAGAAGCCCATGCATCAGTGAGCCTCAACATACACAAAGGAAAAAGCAAGATCCTCAGATACAACATGGAGAACACCAACCCAACCATACTTTATGGAGAAACTCTAGAAAATGATAGGAAATTTCACGTGTCTGGGTAGCATCATCGATGAACGTGGAGGATCTGATGTAGACGTAAAGGCAAGCACTGGCAGAGCAAGGACAGCATTCCTACAATTGAAGAACATATGGAACTCAAAATAACTACCAACCAATATCAAAGTCAGGATCTTCAATACGAACATCAATACAGTTCTGCTGTATGGAGCTGGAACCTGGAGAACTACCACAACCATCATCAAACATGTAAAAGTATTTATAAATAGTTGTCTACTCAAGATACTCAATATCCGTTGGTTGGATGCAATCAGCAATAGCCTAATGTGGGAGAGAACAAACCAGCTTACAACTGAAGAGGAAATTAGGAAAAAACAATGGACGTACTTTGGACACACATTGAAGAAATCATCAAAATTCATCACGAGGCAAGCGCTAACTTGAAATCCTGAGGGGAAATGGAAAAGTGGTAATCCGAAGAACCCACTACGTTGGGAATCTGAAGCAGACATGAGAAAGATGGATAACAACTGGGAAGAACTCGAGAGGATTGCCCAGGGCAGAGTTGGATGGAGAATGCCGATGAGCGACCTATGTTTTTCCATTGGGGGTAACAAGCGTAAGTAATATTCATACCAATCTGTTTATGATAAATAAGAGGTGACAATGCTGTTCAGTCAATAATCCTAAGACTGTTCCAGAATTAAGTCGCCAATATGACAGCTATGCTGTGTAGTAAAATACTGGAATGTGTACGTTTTCCTTTTTTCACTTTTAATCACGAACTGATTTTAGGTAGACTTCCATCGAAAATCAGAAAACACTTGACAGCTATTTCATCACAGTATATGAGTCCTCATAAGTGAGTATTCCTGAACCCATCATCAAGAATCGAACCAAGGACATTCGGTCTGGTGCCCACATGCTTAAATTCTAGATTATTGAAGTGTCACCCATCACTTTATATGTCTTAATTCAATTAATTCACGATATCCAGTTACCATCTTCCAATGTCTGAGGAAGATAAATGTTTCACATCTGAGATGATTAAACTCTACTGGTCACGGTTTCTCGCTAGAATCCTAGCAATTACATCTTGAAGTTAGTCACTCGTGAGAATATGAGTATTACCACTATAAGGTCTTGTGGAGATTGTAGAATTTCCATAGTAATCCTTTTCACAAATCACTATATATATAAATTTACTTGAGACGCTTCAAAAACACGAGCCAAGTTTTATGTGAACAATCTCTTGCTAACTATTTATTTATTTTCTGTATTGTTATGTCTAAGATAGTACATAAAATGTGATGCCCAACTAGATCACTAAAATGAATCAACTTCAAAGCACACACACACACATACGCATAGACAACCAATACCTGGACTACTTATTGACTAAAATAAATTTCTCACACTATGTGTATATAAGCCAAATTTATTGAATGATTTTTTGGTGTATAGTTTTATATGATATAACTGGATTAGTCATGAACATAATTAACTAGAAAAACAATAACCAAAATACTACGTTCAATAACCGAAATACTAACGTACTGACTAATTGTGTTATCTATGTACTACAGAAAAGCTAAAAACAAATCACAAATACATTCACAATGTAGTATATGCGCATAAATTTGGTAAAGTAATTTGGCTAGTTTACAAATTAATTCACTTTTTTAATAGTGAATATATATATGCTTAGTAAATGTTTTAAACCGCTAAGGTATTGCAGGGAGAAATGTATCTAAGTTATTCGCAATATACACTAAAATTTACCTTCAATAAGTAGAACCCATAGAATATAGTCTATAAAATCTTATTAAAACTCTTATCTGTAAGACATGAAGAAAGACAATGCACTTTGAGAGAAAATTGGGTCAACAGTAAGTAAATACAACTAATCAAGGAACTTTAAGTCTAGAACTTGACAGAAATCGAGAAAGCTGTGGCTATCTGTAACGTCTTAAATTCTCAATACGTGTTTGTGAACAGCACTTTCGGTAACTTTTCTCATTTAGCAGGTAACGGCTACGTATAAAGGTGTAATTTCCACTGAAGATATCATTTCAAGGCTCTGAAAGTATGCGCAACTGTCTGAAATGAATATGTCAGTGTAGAGCAGACCAACATACCGGATGAAAATTTAGGGCTTGAAACAAAATCCCCAATGAAAATCACACTTTAATATGCAGGACTTTTCCACTAAATTGAGTGTTGGAGAGAGGGCTTGTACTGAACAATGAAAATGTTGTGGATAACGTTAGTTGGCGAGATTCGCAACCGAATTTAGACAAATAACATCTTAGTTTCACTTGGGTTGAAACTAAATTAGTTAGATAATCCAGTCTACTGAAAAGACCATTGTTACTAATGATTTTTGAAAGGATCTATTCAATTGGAACTTTGTATTCAAGCTTTATGAATTATCCTTTATGTATATGATCTACTACATTTGTTTAAATTACATTTCAGAAATCACTGCAATCTCCGTCCTAATTCACTCGAGAGTTCGAAAAGATGCCAAAGAGTAAGTGTTCTATCTGGATAATTTATAGGCTGAAATTATATATGCACAATCTGACAAGAGAAAAGTTGGAAATATAACATACTAAAATTAAATTATCTCCAATCGCTGGAAAGCGATCTTTCTAAAACATTAATAAATCAGTCAGTCACAAAGTGCAAGCTGTTACGTATGTACATCGGTTCAAGTTACTATACTCCATTGACACAGAGAGATGAAGTTACCAGGATCAATCCCAATATAGTAGAGGTAGTAACAGTATCATTGTTAATGAGAATTATTTGGCATCACAGACACTTATTCCGTGGTCCCAAAATACACGAGCAATGCTTCGAAGACACCTATGATAAGATACCAGCAACCTACAAACATCCTCTCCTTAATGGCCATGTTTCACATTCATAAAATGGGACGGAGCGATCTGTTACACAGTAAACTCGACCTTTGTTTGGAAGGTGAATGTCTCGCCTAAGCTACAAGTGACTCAAGTTGGCGAAAACCAGTCGAGCTTTCTGAATATGTGCCGAGAAATAATCAGACACTAGGCCATCATGACCGACGAAACTTCCAAGATAAGTGAAGCGGTCGATGCGTCCAACTACTTCACTTCCAATCACTAATTTAGGTGATGATGCAAACCAATCCAGAAGTAATATTTCACATTTGGAAGGAAAGAACTGCATTCCAAACATGCTTCCATTATTGCTTAAGATGGTCAGGCGACTGCATGTTGTCAGTGTCTTCACCAAAGCAGAACTATGTCATCTATGTATTCTAGGTCAACAAGTAAATCTCCTAGTAGAAGACAGACTCCGAAAAGTAAGAGGATGAAAGTTTTTTCGCTGTAAGCATGTCGATGACGAAGTTAAATAGAAATGGGGAAAGAGGATAACCCTGACGAAAACCAATTAAAGAAACCAACTCCGATGATTCACCATAAGCACTAACTCTACCAGTAGTGTTCGAGTAGAAAACCTGTACAAAGTTAGTGTGCTTTTTTGGTCCGCCTTTTAGTGACAGACACTGACACAGAAACTCACGATTAACAGAGTCGAACGCCGCCTAAAGGTCAAGGAATACAACTATAACCGGAGGTCGAAAGGTATGTCTGTGTTCAGAGCCTGCCGAAGGGTGAATATTTGGTTTAAATATCCACGTCCAGGTCTAAAAACCAGACTGATTCTCTCGGGTTTTCTCTTCAAGACCTCTAGTTAGACGTTGAAGTATTATTGAGGCTAATATTTTAGACATTATATTAGTTAAACAGATTCGTCAGTAATTATCGCAAGAGGGTTTCTGTCCTTTTTTTATAACCTGGGACGATCAGCTATAGAAACCAGTCAGATGGGATTACGTCCAGTTCTCAGATTTTAGCTAAGATTTTAGTTTATCTAACTGCTAAAACTGGACTACCATACCTAAAAATCTCGAGTTAATCCATCAGGCCCTGTTGCTCTCTCGCTTTAGATTATTTATAGTTTTTTCAGCCTCACTAAAAGTTAATGGACCTACATCAGTTTACTATTCAGGTTGCTCGGACATAGTAAGTAAATGACGTGTTGCTGAAGGCTAGTTGAAGTGTTTCGTAAAGTGTTCTTCCCAACGGTCCAATCTTTTGGATTGAGAGTGAATAATACTCTAGTCTATTTCCGAGATAGTTTCACTAACATCCGGATTTTTAATGTCTATTTCCTTGATAATTCTGAACAGTTGTCTACTGTTACCTATCCCTACTGCCTTTTCCATCTCTTTTGCTAGCCATCACTGCCCACGACAATTACGTAGGCTTTTGAACAGCCTACTTCTAAGCTGCCTAAGCTCCCCATTGTGTTCGGAGCCAGACGGGATGAGTTTTCGAGCATCTGTCAGTTCTGTAGACGCCACCGGAATCCACTGATTTTTCCTACGTTTGGTTTGAGTTACTGGTAGATATCACTACTATTTTCATAACAAGCTACCTCAGGGTGGATATCACTCTCATGGTTGACTAACTCCTTTTATAGCTACTTCTGAAATATTTTTTAAAGTTTTCATCAGTAAGCTGAACTCTAAGGGATATTTTCTTGCTGTGGCTTTTCCCGTAAGAAGCAGACAAATACGTGCTCGAACTAGGGCATGATATGAGTCTAATATGTGCTCTAGAATGAGCGACGGCTTTCTATCGAGCACCTTCAATGATGGCTAGTGACAGTAGGATCTATTTGAGTCCATCCGAGTCGATTATGAAAATGCAACATCGCTGTAGATGATGGTTGTCCGAAGGAAACACCTTACTTCTGTCACAACCCTCTACAGTCAGCAGTACGACTTCGCCCTCGGGCCGTAGCTCTTTTGAGTCATCACGATGGGCGAACCCAACCACGTCAGGAGGCATTATTAAACTTAGAGTTTTTCAAGAACTACAGCAACATATAGACCGTGGACAATTATCATTTAACAAGATCATAAAATGGAAACTATAAATTATTTTGCACAAACAAAATTTAAAAAAGATGATTAACATTTAAATAAACTGAAACCTTTCGCTTACTCAGAACCATAAGATGAAGTAGGAAATAAAGAAGTCTGACGCTGCTGATGAAGTAAATGGGTAGACATTAAAGGATATGTTGTTCGTGTAATATCAGAATAACCAGTTAAGTTCGGATTTCTATAAGATGAAGAAATCGATTCATTTTGAGCTGAATCCTCTGCTTGTTGTGAAGTACAATGAGAGTTATAATTATGAGTAAGATGTTGATGCATATTTGTACCACTATTATTAATAACAGTTGTTAGATTGTTTGATGATATTGCCGAGTAAAATTGATCATAAACAGATGATGAAAGGGATTGAAAAGAAGCAGCAGCTACGGCGGCAGCGGCAGCAGCAACAGGATAAACACTAGAAGCAGTAGGATTTATTGTATGACTGGAAGACATAAAAATATTCCCAGAATTTGTAATAACTGGTGGTGGTGGTGGTGGAGGGAAAATAGGAGATGCTGGATTGGAAACCGATGGTGTAATTAGTAAAGAAGGATATGTCATATTTGAATGAAATAAATGACTAAAATCTGATTGTGAATTCGTCGTTTGATGATGCTGATAATGAGGAGGAGGATAATAATTAGCATAAGATCCATTTGTGTTGTTTACAGTCATGAAATTCGTTTGATCTGTAGAAGCCATTGATGATGGCTGAGGCACTAAATAATTAGAAATGATTGCATAATTTATTTAATTTTATGATTTAACTGACATGTTTCAGATTTAAAAATATGAATGATGATATTAGAAACTACGTAAAAAACAGTAATCACACCTGGATGATTACTGACTGAATTATCAGTATGTAAGCAACATATGTATTTCATAATATTCAACAGTAAAACTAAGGTGTCTATACTGAAAAAGGTTGGACAAATTTGAGCGCAATAATAATTGGTTGAATGCTGAATACCGTATCCTCTACATGGAGAAACGAAATGTTTGTTAATTGTTTTATATTTTAAATATTATGAAAATTAATTTAATAATATAAGCCCAGTAAAATACAAATAGGTGATACTAGAAAAAGAATTTACAAAATATTCAGCTACTGTCCAAAAAAGTAATTGATGAAAGCAGGAAGATTTTTATAGTTCTTACTTTATAAATATTTAAAACAGAAAGGTTATCTATGACTAGATATAATCAATCATTTAAAACCAGAACATCACTTAAATCAACTGAGAATTGATCAATTCATATAAATCATTGCTGATGAGGATCTTGCACAGATTGAGTAGGTCAATGTGGATGATTTTAAGTGGAACGCTGTGTCTAGTCATAAAATACTTGTGAATTTCTTTAAAATTTTTATGTGTAAGTCAATGATTGGTACATTGTTCCAGTACCTTCTACTGTTTATATACAAATGTAAAGGATTAAAACTATAATTAAAAACCTTTCATCCTAAACAGATCAGGATTATGCCTATATTACAGTTATCATATACTTTTCTTTTTGTCAAATGTTTCAAGGTTAATGACAGTAACTTATGGTTTCATTGAAGAATTAAAGACATATCTGGGGAGAAAGTCTCAAAATTAGATTACATATATTCCTGGTATAATAACGCATGAAAACATGTGCACTTACTAGAGTAAAATCGGAGTCCAAATATGTGTCCCATAAGGAACGTTAGCTTTATGAAAAACATCTTCAAATATGGTTGATAACGGTATGATCTGTTTCTGCCCATCGTTGGGCAACGACTTTAGAATGGAACAAAAGAGCCTGAGGGATAACTGCTCATAGCTATCCGTACAGAACCTAATCATAAGTTTTTCTTATTGGCTCTTTTCATTCTAATACTTACCGCCAGCACAGGAATTTGAGGGGTAAAGGTGGTGGTTGGTGAACTGGGTTTGTAAGAAACATCGGTTCAAGGCCCAATGACAGGTGAGGGATGCTGGTAGGTGCACACAACTGGTCTAGGTTTGGCTTATTTATCCGAGGAGCATATATCTATATTTCTGATTGAGTTTTCGCACCTACTTCCATTCAGTTTTTCCAATGAAGGTTCCCGTTTATCCCTTGTATTCTCCCTTAAGTAGTTGGTTGAACTATAGTACTGGGAGCGCGTACATCAGTACCAGAATTGAACGACCGCCCAAGCTAAATGTGTTAATCCTACGATCACCCTTTTCTGATCAGTTGTAAAAAGCCAGAATAACTAGGAATCCTTATTATCCACGGTATACATCCTATCGCAATTACTCCCCAGTACAGCTGATAGTACGAATTTACCCTTGGACGTTAGATCTGCTGCTCTTCAAACAATCTGTTTGGCATGACAACAGCAGAAAGAACAAGTTCCCTAGCCAATGTAACTCAATTGGGCTGTTACGGTAAATAAGTGTGACCACCACATCAAGGTAGCAGATATGGTAGGAAGTTAATAATATAACCTAAACCCTGGTTCCAAATTTGTCACTCATGAGTAATGGTTACATACAGCCACAAGAATTCTCATAATCTTTCAGTGACTGGAATTTGTATCATTCAGAATTGTAGCTGGATAATTTTACTGACAGGATACTTAGGGATTAATCCTTTGTAGGATTGTATTTGATAAACTTATTGACTATTGAGAAGGAATCAAATTTATAAAGTCCAGTTAACAAAATCTGTCATATTTGATAGTTAGAAATGTACAGCATGAACGCGAGTTTAAGTCAGGGTGAACTAGTATTACTTGGTTGAAGACGGTCAAAAAGAACCAATCTAAACTAAGTATATCTAGAAGTTAATCAACCTCTACTTGTTTGCTCATTATGCCAGTTTAGTATAGTAAAGTTGTACATTTTTCACTGAAAAATCACTTGAATAATAATTCAGGAATTATTTCAAATTGATAAATCCATACAAGGAAAAAGAATCTATAAAAATGAATTCTAGAAAAAAGCAAAAGGTATTCGAGTAACAGTAGGGAAACTAATTTAAAGTTTCCTGTAAGATCACTAACACTAGCTAAAACTCTATCTATTAGCACCCTTGATGACAAATGATGATAATCCAGCTATTATTGGAAAGTATGAAGAGCTGGATTCTCTGCCCAACTATTATTCAACAGGGCTAATGATCTGGAGTTTCTGACTACTCTCCCAAGTAGTCTTGACATTACATAACGTTGAAGAAGAAATAGTCATTCAATCTCTCCCACTTTTCAAAGTCTCTATAAATAGTTTTACTACTTGACGAAATCAATCTTCGAACTCATTAAATCGTATACAAAACTATCTGTTCAAGAAATAAAATGATTATTTCTGTACATTATCAATTTATACTCCGGATTAAAGGTTGTACCTTTAGTTAGTCAACAATATTAGGTCAATGAAATATTCACAAAATTAATGAATCATAAGAATTAAAAAGGTTTGTGAATTCAACAACTTACTCAAATAACTAGAGTAAGTAGGAATCTATATGCACCTACATGATTGGAAATAACTGCATTGTTCTAGCCTCTTTTAATAAATGACGCAATTTACCGAGAACATATATATATATATATATATATATATATATATATATATATATATATATATATATATATATTAATGTATGTGTACAACATATCACCAGTGTTATCACCCCGAACAAACACAAAACTTACATTTCATCAGAAATGCATAAAGTCTAGTCATTCAAACAAATCCTGTCATTCGTCGTGGATATAAAGTTATGCTTAGTCAGCGTATTGTAAAAGTAATATTTATAGGTTATTTCAGTGACATATATGCCACACTCTTCACGTGTAATATTGCATACACACAAATGATATAGTACCGACCAGAGGACGACTACTAATGTAAAGAAAATGTATGGGAAGTAAGCAAATAAATATTTATAACGTAAGCGGATTTATGTAGAAAAAAGTGGGAATACAGTGGAATGTTAATTTTTTCCTTTAAAAAAAGACGAGAAAAAAAAAGTTTAAGAATCGAAGAGCTTTGTGAAAAAAAGAAGGCGACTATTCCCCCAAAAGGTCATCCTCTCTCACTACTTGTAATGAAATATGGGTTGACTGGAATAAGAAGTAATAAAACACAACTGTAACAACGACAACAACAGACAAAGCAATCGGAGTAGAAAAAGATTATTTTCTGTTTTGTACTATGTATGTGCTAGGAAAGAAAATGATTGTAAAGAAATACCCACATGTTCTTTTCACATATATATCCATCGAAATAGTAGTACTAGGAAGAGAAGTAGTACTACTAGTCAGACTTCATCCAATAGATATGCACACATACAGACACACATGGGACAAATATAATGATGGTTGCTACCACTATAAAAATAGTAATTTTAATGATGAAAATGATCTGTAAAATTATTTAGCCGAAAACGTTTTACATCTATTAATGGGAAAACTTGAGTGTATACGTGTTTTTTTTCTCATAGTTAACATTTTATAAAGCTATTTATACTATGAGACAAATCAATTCAGAGTAAGTAAAATAGATGACCATTATTTGAGACAATCTAGCGTAAATGTGAAATGCTTATAATCGTACTTATAATTGCTCTATATTTTCTCTATGCAATGATATGGATTGGTGGGGAAGGGTAGTTAAAAGTAGGTTTTCACTATTGGTGACGGGTTTGGGAATAACTAGTATACTAGATACAGAAACTTGTAATATACGAACTAATATTTAACACTTGTTGTATGAAATTTAGAAGCTTCATCGTGATCTTACTAGTTATCAACTAATCATGTGAACAACAAAACAAAATGAATTGAACAGAATAATTATGTAAACATCCAAGCAACTCCTAGCTATTGTAAAAACACAGATCATCTGTATTTAAAAGGTTGCTAATAAAGAACAAACAGTTCCCCCGTATAGATCTGCAGTTCAAATGTATATGTTTACAGTAATAACAGGTTTTGCATGCCAGTTTTAGAAATCCTGAATGTTTATATCAGGTGTGATAAACTGGAAAGATGCACAACATCAAAGACATAGTTATCTGTGATGCCGACAGTATCTTATAACAGATATATAAATTAAATTTAGTCAAACCATTATATTCAGGAACTTACTACACATTATTAATTATGCTGATAGGCAATTCACGTACCTGAGAATTAGTGATATGTTCAATTGAAGCACTTTGAAATACATGAATCTTCAAGAACACGCTCTTGAAGAATAAAGTATTTCACTGTCACTTAAATTCAAATACATAATAGTTTACAACCTTGTCACAACTTTTAACGAACGTTAAGTAATAGATATTTAACCTAGTATTTTAATGGTGTAACTCCGCCTGGAGTCCCTCCGGGGGCTACTGCCGGTCTCAAGCTCGGATAGAGGAGGGTTGGGCATGGGTTTAGCGACCTCATCCCGTAGAAAACCAACTTGCTAAAAAATGCTAACCAGAAAAAATTATTCAGACCATTTAAACTCTGCCCTGGGAGTCAGGTCTTCATTTAGAAGAGTTATGACGCCTCATGATGAAATCCGCGTTCCTTCGGAAGTCACGAGGCCGATGCTCCTCCTCACAACCAGAGCAACCATTTATTTAGGTACATGGAATGCTTGTACAATGTGGGGGACTGGGAGAATTTTCCTAATTGTTGCAGAAATGAGGAGATACAACATAGAGGTGCTTGGAATCAGTGAAACACATTGGACGAAAGTTGGACAAC